TCATCATCATCCGGCCCCCCGTCCCTTCATCTTTTCTTCATAAAACTGTCAGCGAAACTGTTTAACACACTGAGATCGCTTGAACTCGTGATTATTAGAAGGAAGGGTCTGGAGAAAAAGAAAACTGAAAGTTTCGATGGTATTTCAAATTCTTGCTGGTTTCTATATGACCAAGAAACGTTACAGACTGCTATAGTCGATGTGCCACGAATTGAAATTTCATGGAACGACACTCCGCTTGGTGGCCTTGTGGCCGTGAAGAATCAATGCCTTTGCGGATCTCGGTCACGCTTTCCCATTTTAAAATTTGCCGTTTTCGAACACATTTTCTTCGATAATTCTTTAAATTTAGGAAATTTTTGGCTGTGCAATGGATGAATAAAGTTTTTCGGAATGCCAATAATTCAACCAGGGGATAAATAAGCAGTGAAAAAACTTATATTGACTGAAACCGATCTCTCTATTTCATAGTGCGTACACGTCTTCATTTTATAAGCCACTCATTTTCGCTCACAAGGAATGAATGACTGGAAGCAGTTGGAACGAATATTTTAGGCATAGAAAAGAAAATTTGTCTTTAAAATCGAGCGCCTTATTCGAAGAGGCATGGAGAAACTACATGAAGAAAAAATCGAAAAATCTAGAAAATTTACAAGGAAATGTTGAGTCTGTACCAAGAACGTTTACGGACCTTGAATACATTCTTAAAGGCATTTTTCCGCTTCAAGGGCTTGAAAATTTAATTTTGACCTAAAATTTTTGAGTTGAGGAAAATTTATAATAGATAAGTTTCGTGGACTTGAATGAAATTTTTATTTTTTATATTTTTAATTTTTCCGATATGCGGCTGATATTGTTTCGAGCTTGCAAAAACCGTTCAAGTATGCCTAAAATCTTGCTTAGTTTAAAGGCGCAGAGGCAATTCTAATGAAGGTCCCGAAGCGAAGAGCCGTTTTTAGAGCCTCCTCAATTCTTATTTTGTTCAAATTTGAAATTCAAATACAATGACGTCATTCAAAAACGCTCTGTGGATGGCTCGCTCTCTAATTGGTTTATTGTGTCATTAGGGGCGGAGCTTGAGCGACGACTTCACATTCAAAATCTGAACAGGCTATACAATAAGTAATTGATGTGAATTCAAGTCATTTTTCGACTGCAAAAAAATGAAACTGGAAAATCGCAACACTGTTGCAGCGATTGATCAACGGCGGGACTTCAGAAGCCGTCGTCCGACGGGACGCTCATCCATCAACACAAGACCCGATACGCATCTCGATGTCGTTGTCCCAACATGGTAGAAGATGTCAAGGTGAGATTCGGACACGCTTCTTTTCGGATCGTCTTTTTGATAGGCAGGGGAAGCTCCGATTCAATATTTAGAAGCCTTTTTGAAATAATTGACCTCTGGAAGTTCAATGGAAGTCGTTCTATTTACATAGAAAAGAAATACGTAACAAAAAGCTTCTAAAAAACTTTTTATTCTTAAAAAAAGCACCAAGATCTTCCGAGCTATCTAAGGAAAGCCAGAATGGCCCCTAGAGGGATCAAAAAGTGCTCACTAAAGGGGTAAATTTTAGGTGATCCCTATAGAGATATAAGGTCGGACCCCTTAAGCTCAAGTGGTCCCTATAGGGTCTTTTAATTTTTCAAAATTAAAGACTTAAAGTGATCCTTTGTTGATATTTATCCATCAAAAAACGTTTTTCACTAAGTTTTTTCACTTGGGAATGTTTCTCATAGAGTTCATAACAGTAAACGAAAAATTATCTTCTATAGTGGCCACTTCCTCAAGCTTTAGTTAGGGACCGCAAAGCCACGCCCCTTTTCGCGATAGAAAAAGTGGCTTTTTTTTGGTTTTCAACTTTAATTTAGTTGTAGTTGCAAAATATGTGGAACTGGCTAATAAAATTTGACACACATGTACAGAAAAAGCTTCCTCTTTTTGTTTTAAAAAAAATATTTCACGCTTTTTTTGATGCGTTCTCGCGGAATGTCGTACAAAAAAACGTGAATGGAACTAAAAAAATTTTGTCATTTTTTTGCTTTTTTTCATGTGTTTTTCAGGTCGAACGCACTCTTTCTTTTTTTATATAATGATTTTTGATTCAAGTAAAGGTAATTTTTAAAACAATAAAATAAAAAAAATTCGTCTTTGCCAAAAAAATTTTTAGGGAGTGCCGAAAGTCATAATTCAAAAATATCGTTAATAAGCGAATATAATCGAGTTTTTTTGTTTTTTTCAGAAATTTAGACCATGGGCTTACTTAAATTTTTTTCTCCACAGCATATGTGCTTGAAAAAAAGTTGTTTGATACGCAAAAAAATGCTCTTGAAAATAGAGAATAAAATTAGCGGCGTTTATCACACAGAAAGCGGTCGAACGCAGGTTTTTTTCAAACGATTATATACATTTATTAGTAAAAAAATCTTTCAATTAAAAAAATAAAATAAAAAATTCGTCTTTGCCGAAAAATATACGGGGCCGTTTTAATGCAGCGATCGTTAAAAGAGGCAAAAAGCACTGAAAAAACAGTTTTTTCGAAGTGAATTTCCACGAAACGTTTGAGTAAAGGTTTGCGAACATATTCTGATCAAAATAGCTTAATTACTTCAAGTTTTTCTTTTTGAAATAGGCAATCTGTGCTATCCAAACGGCTCAAGCGTAAGGCGGATGGAAGCTCCACGCGCTAGACATGACAGCTTGGCGCAGTGCGTGCGCTGCGATTTTTCATTTTGAGGTCGCGAGTTCGATACCCGCAAGCGTCAGTTTTTTGTTTTCTGCAAAATACCGACTTTTTTTCGGCAAACTAGTTGATTAGCATCATTTTAGCACTCTATTATAATTTGTTACATCATAATAGACCAGTATCAAAACTTGTTCTAGAAGAAAAAAATCGAGAAAAAAATGTCAAAAAAATGGATAATACCAAAATTTCAGTACTAAAAAAAATGGTGCGCGGCGTGCCACATTTTTTTCGTCATAACTTTTTTCATCCTCAATCTTTTTCGAAAAACTAAACGGTTCTGAGTTCTGAATCGAAACAGCTATCAAACCATACATAGCTCAATGCTGAAAAAAAATTTTTGAAAGTTCGTCTGCGGTCCCTAGCTTTAGTGGTCCCTAGAGGGAAGCCTTCAAGGGTCTTATGGTTGCCCCTATAGGGACCACTCCGGAGTCTTCCGATAATCTAAGGGACGTCAGAATGGCGCCAATAAAGGTAAATCAACTAGCATATCCCTAGAGTGGTCACTTGTTTAAGGTTTAGTGGTCTCTAGAGCCGAGGTGAAGTGGTCCCTAGAGAGAAGCATTCAAGAGTCCCTAAGGTCGCCCCTATAGGGACCACTCTGGAGTGCCTAAGAAAATTATCCTTCCGATAATCTATCTAAGGAACGTCAGAATGGCCCCTATAGAGGTAAATCGACTAGCATATCCCTAGAGTGGTCACTTTTTCAAGCTTCACTAGTCAGAAACGCCCGGGACGCGTCCGCTTTGCGTAACAGAAGACCGAGTATCCTGCTTTTGACTTTTAAAGAGAAGCTTCAAAGTTATTTATGCGCTGAAAGTTTGCTCCATCGAGATTTTCAACTTCTGGGCTAGTTGAACCGAACAAAATTTAGCTTTTTTGAGTAAAACCGCAGATTTTTTGAAAAGATAGTTTTCTGGAAAAGGTGTTGAAACAGAGATCCATAGAGAGAAAGTAAAGTGGTCCCTAGAGGGAAGCCTTTAAAGAGTCCCTAAGGTTGTCTCTGTAGGGACCACTCAGGACTTCCTAAGATTTTGCAATTTTTTTTAACTAGCCCTTTTTGAGCTTTTTTCGGCTTGGACGTATAAATATCAGTCATTTTTTTGAAATTTTGCAGAAAAGCTAGAAATTAGGAGATGAAAAGTGTAGAAGGACTTTTTATGACAAAAAATTTTCTTCAAAGATTTTTTCTGACTTGCCTTTGAATCCTTAAATTTCAGCTTTCCACTTTCAAAAATTCGATGAAAATGTACGAGTTTCAAAATTTTCTCCACTTTCAAACATCTCAGGCTCATAAAACCTACGTCCAAAAAGTCCAATAAATCTCAAGTTTTAGTTGGTCCGCGGTGAGATCAAAAAAGAACACACCTGCGCCTAATTTCATCGCTAATTTATGTCTTCGGAAAAAAGCTCGTTGGCTGACATTTTCAGGCGAATTTATGTACAGTTGGAAACACGAGGAACATGAAAAGTAGATATTTAAGAATATATTTTCCATATTTTCCCATGAAAATGCAAAAAGAAAACCAGAACTGAACTGAATGATACAAATGTAGTTGGATAAAGCCGGGTACAGGAACCCGAGAACTAGAGTAAGCATATGATGAAGGAAAAAAATAGAACTACTTTTTCGGAAAAGAATAATTTATACTCGGGCAAAGTCGGAATGGTGGATAATGGTCGCTAAAAGGCTCAAAAAAGGGTCCAGAAAGGGTGCACAAAGGCAGCAAAAAGAGCCCCTTTATCGAGCCTTCCATTTTTTCTGGCATATCAAAGACTCAAGAAAGGGAGAGGCAGCAAAAATGGTGCATAAGGGCTGAGAAAATGGCGCAAAAAGGCAGCAAAATAGGAGCCTTTTTCACCTAAAAGGTACTTTTTATGGAGCCTTTTTCCACCTTGTCCGACTTTGCCTATGTGTTTGAAAATGATATTCACAAGAAAATGGGCAAGAACAATTTTAAAAACGAAAATATTGGTATAAAAATAAGGGTACATGGAATTCCGAAACCGAAAAAATATATAGGATCCGTTTACATGAAACAAGGAATTCACACAAGAAAAAAATTTAAAAATCATGGATTCATAAAAAAAATATATAGTTTAGCCTCCTTTAAGTAGATACTTTTAAAAAAAGTGAAGTCAAAAATAAAACCGAGAATATTTGAAATAGAGCAATCAATGAAGCTTAAAGTTATCTACAACTCGATTTTTCGGCTTTAAAAGCAATTTCCGGATCTCTTCAACAAAAATGAGCATTTATTTGTTCTTGCTGTCGAGTTCCGAATCGGAGATGACCATCTCGACGACGTCGGGCAGATCTTGGATCAACGTCGTCCTGGGATATTTCGATTTCAGCTCGGGCCACTGAACGACCACTTCGTCCACCAAGCCCGAGTAGTACAGGATAGCGGCTGAAAAAAAAAGAACATAGAAATCATGGTCCCGGGCAAAACTCAAAAAAGTTTCAAGGAGGTTCTTTTTCGATAAAAAAGATTCTGGAAAGAAACTGAATGGGGGAAGCGAGGAGTGTGAAAAATGAGTTCAAAAGAAACTTTTCCTAGAATTTTAGGAGCTTTTTGAGGAACCTTTCTAGGTGGGTCCCAAAAAAAAACGTTTCAGTTTAAATATGATGGGAAAAATTAGTTTTCTAAGTTACACAAAGTTACGCATTTTCTCAGATTTTTGATCCTTGAATAAATTCAGCGCTTATGTTAATAAAGTAACCTTTTAAGTGAAAAAAATCCCAAAAGTAATTTCGAAACTCGTTCAAAATTAGTCCACGGAAAAAAGCGAAATAGGAACTTCGGGAGTTGAAAAGATTGGGTCCTACAACGAGATGACCATCTTTACGCGCAAAAATCTTAATTTTGAGAATTTTGTTGGACCTTTTTGAAGCAAAAATTTGAATTCGCGCGTAAAATTCATAATCTATCGCTATAAGTTTGCTCTAACGGCTCCCGAAATAACTTTAAACACGTTATGCGTCAATTTTTAAATCACCAAAATTATTTTGAGACACTCTGAAAGTCGTGATATCTTCAAAAAACCGTACTTGCTTCTTAAGTGACTACTCTAATTTCAAAGTGCAAGAAAATTTAAGCTTTCCTTGAAGAAACCCCTTGAGTGTTTTTTTTTCCGAAAATCATTCACCTGAGAGGGACAACTGCTTGACGCGACAAATCGACTCTTCATAAATCAGGACGGTGTCCCTGATTCGGATCATATCCAGAAGAGCTGCGGCGATGGCGATCGGGACACAAGTGCCTGGGCCATTTAGGAGGACCAAATCCGGGCTAAAATTAGGAGTTTGGGAGTTTTAAAGCAGTGAAACTCGTATACAAGGGCAAAGCCTTAAAAAGAAAAATCTAGAGCTCCCAAAAAAGGTGTTAGAAGTTGCTCGGAATCTCCATTTTTCAACTTTTTCCTGTCTTTTTCTTTTATTTCTCGAAAAGGTTCAGAAAAAAAGCCTTAGGCTTTTTTTAAAAATCCTACTGGACTTTCGCCGTGTAAATTTTCTCAACCTAAAAAATCCCCCAGTATTACAAGATCTGTTCAATTTATAATGTTTTTTTCAATTTTATATCAAAAAAATTGTTTGGTCACTTTCTGCATAAATCAAGCTTTGAGCCCTTTCCCTTGCCCAAAATAATCCCTTAAGAACTCACTTGGAGTCCCAAACTTGCTTCAGAGCAAACCAAAACGCGACGGTCGTAGTCGAAACAGAAGATAAATAACTCTGGCCGACTTCCCGGCTTCTGGGAATCTTCTGGATCGTGAAACTGCCCAAATCGCGCAGTTTTTCAAACTCCAACACCTGGAAATTCGACCATTTCCATTTTTTTTTTTTGGATTGAACCTTCTGCTCGCTCAATTGGTCAGTTTCCGCAAGGATGTAGTCCCTGGGAGTGTACTCCACACCGAGTTCCTTGATCAAATCCAGCATTTCCATCGTGTGCCCGCCGGAACCCATAACCGCCATCACAGAAATCTGAAAACGAGATTTCTTCGCAAGAACTATTCAAAATATTACCTGCTTCTTCTTCGGCAAATGCTTGTTCCGATGGTTGGAATGCCGCACCAAATATGTCAAATACCCGGTGGCCAGTAAAATTCCCCAGAGGATAAAGGCGACGACCGTGAAGAAGACGAAGAACATTATCTGGAGAATTGACGAACGCTCAGAAGGCAACGATTTAAAAAGACTCTCCAAGAAGGAAGTTCCCGAATAAGAACCCAAAAAACAATTACAACAACACAACAATAAAAAACAGGGCCTTACTGCAAAAGTTTTCTGCGCGCGAAAATAATCAACACGGTGTATTTTGAACACATTATTTTGGTGCAATTATGTGGTCAGAAACAGTGCCGCTTGATCAGGAATTACTTAGTAAATCGAGCGAATTTTATGAAAAAATATTCATTTCAAAGCTAGTTCAAAGAAAAATTCTGAACTATAAACAATTACCAACGTTTCTGTAAACTTTCAAAGAATATCGATCATGTGTTGCAAATCTAAACAATTTCAGAAAACATGGGCGAGGCCTCAAAAAAACTCGAATTTATATTAGTCCTGGTTTTTGAAGCGACATGTAACAGAGATAACAGAAATATTTCTTTTTTATAGCCAAATGTGAAAAAAATGCATCAGGAAACCGTTAAAAATGTTCTCCAAGAGGAATAGCAACTTTTTTTTTCTAAAAGAGCGCATTTTTCCGTCAAAAAAACGTTCGATTTTCTCATAACATGTGTAATAGAAACAATTCTTCAACACTTTTGAACCCCGAGAAGCATCTTTTACAAGCGATTATGACGGATTGTACTTTGACCATCCGGGTAAAATGAGCTTGACAAACTATTTCAGTGGACAAGTTCGAGAATTTGATTCCAAAAAAACAATATTGTTACAAAACAAAAAAATAAATAATGAAAACAGGATTTCTTTTTTTCGTCGTAAATATTATAGGTATTGTACGCTCCAACGCACCTAATTTCCTCGCTTAAGTGACCTCTCAAGAGCAAATTATGTGGTTTTTTTTTTTTGAAATTGTTGCCTCTAAAAGAAAAATCCTTTTAATGCGCATTAAAATATTAAAAATTTTGTTGGTATGAGTATTTTTTCGACCCCCTCCACTTCCAGTGCACGGAGGAAACTTTTACTGCTCTCAATTTCTCGACAGGTGTTTGATAAATCATCATTTTTGGGTAATTTCTTCCTAATTCAGAACCTTCGATATTTTTCCAAAAAGCGGGGCTCATTCATTGAGAAACAGAATCCGCTGAATATTCGGACACCGCCATCGAATCCTGCGCCGTTGCCGTTTTTCAAACCAGCGCGGGCAGGTTTTTTTATTCCTTAAATAAAAGGACAAGAGATGGAAATAATTTCAAGGTTCTAATTTTCTATATTTCAGAGAACATGACCGCAGTCAAACAAAAGCTCGATTTTTTGCTCGTTTTGGATTTCGAAGCCACTTGCGACAACGATAACAGCACCCTTCCTTGCATGGTTTTTTTCCGTTTTCAACTTGAAAAATTTTTTTTTTAGGAAATCATAGAATTCCCCGTGGTTAAACTTTCGACAAAAGATTGGCAAGAGAAAGGCCGATTCCATCAGTATGTTCGCCCCACTGTCACGCCTATCTTAACATCTTTTTTTGCACTGGTTTAACCGGAATAATCCAGGTTTGAAATTTAAAAAAAAATTAATAATTATAGTTATAGGAAATGGTGGATGGAAAGCCGACGATCGAAGAAGTTTTTCCCATGTTCGATAAATGGTTGAAAGAGGACCAGGAACTGAAAAACGGCAACTTTTCATTTCTAACTTTTGGGGATTGGGATCTGAAAGTCGCCCTTCCGAATGAGGCTCGGTTCAAGAAGTTTGAGATCCCCAGGTGATTTCGAAGAATTTTTTTTATAGTCATGCTTAAAAATAATTTCCAGTTACTTCAACTCTTGGATCAATATCAAACGTTCGTTTGCAACCCACACCGGCCGGTTCCCCAAAGGGCTGCCCGATGTTCTGAACGCTTACAAACTTCAACTTCAGGTTTCACTGAATTTCAGATAAAAAATTAAAAAATGTGTTCAGGGACATCATCACAGCGGAATCGACGACGTTCTGAACATTTGCGAGGTCGTCAAGTGCATGGGACAAGAGGGATTCGTTTTTCAAGTGGGTTCTATTTTCAACTGGATGGGTTCAGAAAAAAATCATTGTTAAAAAACGCAAAGGTTCATAAGGAAAATATTGAGAACAAAATTCTAGGATTAAAAAACTTGGAGAAAATCATCGTTAGAATGAAATTAAAACTGTTTTCCTCAAAATTGAAGTCTTCAAAATGTTTTTTTCTGATAGAAGCTTCAGACTATGATTGTTATGGAAATAAGGCATTTTTACCATTTTTTTACTTTAAAAAAAAACAGTTAAAAAAATCCAAAAAAACATTGATTTTTTTCAAAATTTTTGATGATTTTTTTCTCCTTATTGGGATGGACCAGGGTTGTACGAAATTCCGTTTTTTTTTTTTGCGTTCCGTGAAAATTAAGAAAAATAGTAAAAAGCGCGCAAATACTTGAAAAAAATTAAAAAAGTGGTTTTTCGTAGTTTTCAAAAAAATTGTACCGAAAAATCTTTCCTTATCTGGCCATGACGCCTAACTTTAATGAAGTATTAGGAAAATAAAAATATTTTTTCAATAAATTAGTCGTTTGTTCTGTATTCCGCCTACCGAAAAAATTATCTAGCTACCATTTTCCGCGAAAGATTCCCTTCCCTGTAACCCCTGGAATGGACTATGAAAAAAAAAAGGAAACCAGATCATAACTTCAGAAAAAACGGCGACCCTCAAACAAGAAACGGGCCGGCCCGAACCGGCCAACGATTTAGCAGAGCAATCGTTTAAAAAAATCCTTTATTGATAACTTGGGAATAAATTATATTGATTAATCTGTTTTTCGTCGGATATGAGACAACAAAAAAAGGCACCCGCGAGAGTTTGAAGGCGACTCTGTGATGAGCAAAAGTTTGGAAAAAATGCCCCATGGCTAATCGAGACTATTTCTTCCCAAGAAGGTTTTCTCAAACAATGTGATAGCCCTTGTCTTTCTTCTCGCCGCTCTTGACGCGGCTCAGACGACGTCGCAGGCTTTTCGTCCGCTTCTGAAGACGTTAGAGGAAGTTAAATAATCAAATCGGGAGATGTTACCGCGACTTTTCCAACTGGCTGGTATTTGGGCGAATTCGAGTTCCAGTAATGGCAGATCATTACGGCCGTCAGTATGAAGCAAACTCCTGAAAAATAATCTTTTTTTTTAACTCTGAGCGCTTCATTTTTACTGACTACTCACAAGACCCTAATGCGTCGATTAAAAAAAATAAAAATCCAGGCATTCGGGGGTTCTAGTACTAGTTATGGCTCAAAAACTACGAAAATCGTCGTTTTAAAAAAAAATTTTATTTTTTTCTTCTAAACGATTTTTTTCTGGTCTGTTCTAATACTAGATATGTTAATATAGGAGCGCATTTTTTTTAAAAATAGGTTTGGACCATTTTGCACCACTAGGAAAAAATTTTGGTTTTTACGGTATTGTTTCTACAGTAAGCCTGAAAGTGGGCGGGGTTTCAACGAGTTTTTTTACTTTCTATAAAGATGAAATGTTTGCACCGATGGCTTTTCGAAAATCTCGGAGAACTTGTGGGAATGGTATTTTACGTCGAGGAGGAAAAAAAATAAGAAAAATCCTGATAAATTCATCCAGAATTATGTTATTTTTCGGTCGGTAGAGTGAGAATTTAAAAAAATTAGAACCACTCAAATTTAGATAAATAGTAAATTATACAGTCGTGTTTCATTGAAGCTTGGAAAAATTAAGGATTTCGAAAATTCTTTCTTAATTTTTGTCCACTCTTGTGATTCTGGATCTCATAATTCTACGCTTTCCTTTCCACAATTCTACTATCCATCCTAACAAGCGCTTTTTCAGTCCCTGGTTGAACTTCCAATCATATTTGCATGTAGTTTTTTCGGGAGAAAAAAAATCACTTGCTAGAGATCTAATTTTCAAGTTACGGGACCTCAAAACACTCAAATAAAGCTCTCCCTGTAATTTGCGGACTTTAAAAAAAATTTATTTTGGCATCTTCAGCCAATTTTTATCACAAATTCATCCCAAAGACGATCAAAAAAGTCCCTCGGTTGTTATAGCTTGTTTCGGCGAGCCCTGCTCTTTGGAGCTTGAAATTCGAAAAAAAAGATCAGAGTCTTCCTTTTGTTATTTGATCTCAGAGCTCATGATAATCGATTACCGAAACTCCGCGCTACAGAGGCTGTCTGAAAACTTTTCCTCAAGTTCTCGAAATTTTCTTCCTTTGGATCGTTGTCCAAGACCATAAACTCACCAAGAGCCACAGATCCGAGCAACATGAAGCCGGAAAGCCCATTGACGAGCCCGGTGCGGTTCTTCATCTTGGACAGGTGATCGAGCCAAACTCCCGTGGTGATGACGGCGAGCAAGTTGCCGACCGAGGAAATGATGCAGCAGACGAGCCAGACGATGAGCATCGTCCTCCATCGATACCGATGGACTGCGCCGAGACCCAAGGCCCCGGTGAACAGGCCGACGATCGCCGAAACCGAGTTCATGTGACAGGTGCTCTGGTATTCGGCCTCGTCCGGGTAGCCCGGACAGGTTATTCCGTGGATCATGAAGCTCAGCGAGATGAGAATCTCCGCTCGGCACAGGTTGATCATGATTTGGACGTATCTGGAAAATAGTTCAGTGATGCCGTAATTTCCGCGAAATGCAAATTGTCTCTGATTCTCCAAAATTTACATGGAAGGTCATTTTTGCGTAGGGTCTGGAATTTTCCATGAATTAGCTCAAAGGATCATTGATGGACTGGGAATCGATCCCGCATAGTCGCTCTCTGCGCAAACTTTTCGTTTTGGAGATATGATTTTTCAAAGTATTCCTCCTTAAACACGTGACACTGTTCGGTAGGAAAATGTCCGTTTGGAACGTTTTTATTCATGAAATGTGGACATGTTCATCATGATCCGTCAAAAAAATTAATGGCAAGAAACGAAGCGCCAAAAAGATTCGAACCTTCGTCATAGGCTTCGCAGGCTACTGCGCTAGCCACTGCACCACGCTCCTAGCTGCCATGCAATGACTTGTGCTGCGGACATTTTCCTACCGAACAGTGTCACGTGTTTAAGGAGGAATACTTTGAAAAATCATATCTCCAGAACGAAAAGTTTGCGCAGATAGCGACTATGCGGGATCGATTCCCAAACCATCAAAGATCCTCTGAGCAAATTTATTAAAAATTCCAGACCCCTACGCAAAAATGACCTTCCATGTTAGTTATCTTTTTCTTTCTCTGACGGTTATTTTCGCGGAGTCACTTTGAACACGGCTTGAGAGATTAGTTATGATTTGCTCGCCTGCGTCTCTCTAATCTCTCGCCGGAGAGGTAGGAGAGACACAAAAAGATCATGAGAACATGAGAGAGTGGCCGAGAGACGTGGAGGGCGCAGAGAAATCAAGCTCTCTCTAATCGCGAAAAATGGCCTACAGTTGGTTTGAAAAACTACCGGAAGATCTTCTTGAAATTTGGAGTTTCCTTAGGATTTTCACAAAATATCTCTGAAAGTCTAGATGAATATTTCAACGACTACTATCCTTTAAAAACCCAAAAAGTTCTAATTTTTCAGGAAAAATTTCAGGAAACCCGAAATCTTAAAGTAAAATCACCTCCTCTGGGAGGCTCTTGAAGCTAGATATGGCCTAATTTATTATTTCTTAAAAAAAAGCTTCCACTAAACTTGTTTGAATTTCTCATTTTTGATTTAATTACGTTTTCCCACCGAAATGTTGAAAATTTTTGATTAAAGATCAACTTTCTACGTTCAAGCTGTTCTTCATAATTTTTTTAAAACCATTTCCTTATCAAAATCTTCTCAAAAACTCCATGTTGATATTTTTCTATTGTTAAAATCCACTCACTCTGTATGTTGGAACCCGGACTTTTGCATGACCGTGTAGGCTTTGTAACGTCTTCTTTCCGACGGGCTCAACTCGCCGTCGTCGTCGTCCGAAGTCTGGATTTTCGGAAAAATATATTTTTTATCAGTGTGAAAGGTTCTCTTTGAAGCAAAAAAGGAAGAAAACTGATTCTCAAGATTCATATTAGATTTTCAGAATGATCTACTTGGAAAAAAAGGCTATAGAAAAACTAAAAATGACGAACCGCAGGACCGCGCATCAGCCGCAGATTAGGCTCCTCGAAGGAAGGCCTCAGAAGGTCCATACTCAGGTTTCTCTGTAGGAATTGAAAATATAACCAGAAAATTACGAGATTCAAGGTCAAAATAGGTAGAGGAACAAAAAAGGAGATAATTTTTGTTAAGAGGAAATATTTTACAATTTTAAAATCAAGAAAAATAAAGTCAATCCTTTCTGACGCGTCACAAGGGTGACGCGTTGCGTACGCGACGCGGCTTGGCAGGGAACTCGAAGTCAGACGCGAGCCGACTTTTTTGACAATTTCCAATGAATTTAAATACTCCATGGTTCAGTTGAATGAAAAAAAGAATAAAAACCTTTTTTTTACATTTTTACTTGTGGACTTGAGTTCCCGCCAAAAACCGCGTCGCGTACGCAACGCGTCACCCTTCCCAGTCTTCCCTTTCAAGTCTCGATAAATCGACTAAACCTGGAAAAATTTTTAGAGGCCACTATAGGGTTTTGACGTTTTAGTGGCCACTGTAGTAGTCAAATTAGTGACCACTTGAGGGGTTAAAAAGTAGTGGCCACTATAAAAGTCTAAGTACTTCTACTAGACCACTAAAAAGTGGCCACTTTAGGGGTCATTGGATCAACATAACTGGTCCAATCTGTTTGTTTCAAAATTAGCAGAATTACTGGAAGGAATACTGGATGAAAAACTACTGAAGTGGCCAATAAATAGAGAACCTCTATAGTGGGCACTAAACGGAAAATAGGGGCCACTATAGAGGTGAATTTAGTGACCACTTTAGTGTCCTCTCCAAGTAGTCCTTGGCGAGTCTTTATGGTGGCCAAGTTTGATATTTCCTTCGGCAAGCGCAACGATAGAAGTATACAAAAGCGCTCTTTTTTCACTTTCAGAAACTCGTTTTCCACCTGATCGGTATAGAATGGAAACCAAAAATACTTGAAAAATAAGCTTAACATTTTTGAAATTTTTCAGCTTAACAACTTATAATTTGTTTAGTTTCGAAATAGAGGTGAAAAAAAGTTATTTTTTTAATAAACTTGAAATGTTTTTTTGAAACCCCTATTAAGAAATAAAAAGAGTAGAAAATGAACTGAACCAGTTTCAAAAAAATAATGTTCTCATTAAAAAAACCCCATAAAATAAACCATGAAAAATTTTTTTCAACTCACAAGGTAGTCCATTTCGTGAAAATACAGCATTTCAGAGACTATTTTTGATGTTGGAAGACGAGAAAAATGAAAAATTTTTTGGAAAGTTTTGGGGGCCAGATTTTAAAGGGCGATTGTACCACGTTGTTGTGGCCCTTTTATTGTAAAGTTTCAGAGTTCGGACATTTTTTTCAAGTTTTATATACTTAATATAGCCCCATTTCGTTGATTTTTATCCATCGGATGATTCGAATGTTTTTCTGAAGTCCATACATCGTTTTCGAATTTTTAAAATCAATGAAACGAGTTATAGAAAAAAAAATTGTGAAAAATTAGCGTTAGAGCGCATAAGCGTCTGATGCAACGCGGCTATTTTTTAATTTGAAGTACGATATTTTGAAGAAGGGGCTAAATTTTTATTCTAGTTACGATTATTTGAACAAACTTCAAACAGTGGAAAACCAATGATCAATCTCTAAATTAATGGAAAAAAAAAAAAATTAGCATTGGAGCGCACAAGCTTCTAATAAATTCGGCTATATTTTCATTTGAAGTTTGATTTTTTTGAATGAACTTCAAACGATAATTAATCAAATTTGTATACCTAAATTGATCGAAAAAAAGGTAAATTAGCGTTAGAGCGCACAAGCTTCCAAATAAATGCGGCTGAAGTTTCTTTCGAAGAAGGATTTTTTTAAAAGGCACTTTGAAAGGTGAAAAAAACCAATGATTAAATTCTAAATTATCGTGAAGAAATAAAAAAATTAGCGTCAGAGCGCACAAGCTCCCAAAAACGGCTAAATTTTTTTATTTGAAGTTTGATTTTTTTCTGAATAAACTTTGATCTAGAAAAAAATTTATTTTTTTAGAAAGTGATGAAAAAAAAATTTTTTTAAATAATTACAATAGTTCCTATTGGATTTTTTTCTAGAACATAAAAGTTTTTTTAATTTTTCGATTTTCGTGAATCATTGTAAAAAAAGTATGGACTAGTATTAGAGAAAAACAACTCTTTCAAAAAAAGAAAAAAACTTTCTTTTTTTTTCAATGAGCTATCAAATCAAAAAGGCTTGATTTACAAGCCAAAAACGTACCAAATTGCACTGGAACATTGGAATATTTGTACCGTGGATCGATGCGAAATTGAGAGAAGAACCGAGGGAACTTGGGATCGAGCGGAAAGATTCAGGCACGATTAGATTGTTGGCCCCAATCCGATGTTTCTTTTCCTTTTTCTTTTGTCCTTCCTGATGGCTTCCGCGTGGGTTTTGAAAGCAACATGACAAAAAAGCCGTTCTCGTTGAAAGTTTATGGACGATCACATGTCCCTCGGATGATCTTATCTTCTTTTATCAGACCACAAAAAACGGTCAAAGCTTTTCCCCTTCTTCCAACAGATATCTGCGACCGGATGTCGCAATTTCATTGTTTTTAGAATTTTATAGGCTATAGTCAAGTCTAGAAACTATTCCAAAAGGTTGAAAGCTCAGTTTGGAAAATGAAAAAGTAGCATTTTGAAGAATAATGCCAAAAAAATTTAAAAAAAAAACTCAAAAAAAGAAAAGAATAAAAAAAACTCTTTAAAAAAAGAATAAGATAAAGGAGCTTCTTTAAAAAGACATAGAAAATTGAAGAAATGAGTATAATTATTTCCCGACAAGCTCAAAAAGCCCGTGTAAGCTGAATCAAAGAAAAAAATCCAAAAATGACTGGGAAAAATTTCAAGTGGCCACTTAAGTGTCGTCTTCAAGTAATCAACTCTTGAGTGGCCACTTAAAAAGTTTGAATATGATTTATTCTTTTAAAAAAGGCTGAACGAAGTAGTTTGTGTGCTCTATGGATAAAAATTGTGAAAATTGGAAATTTCGTTTTTCTTTCACATTTACTCAAGAAAGGAGGTTAGGAATAATCAGAAATCATTGATCTTAAAAAAAAGAAAAATTCCTACAAAAACCTTAGAAAAGTTGATTTTTCTTTGAAAATGTGGAACACTCAATCAAAAAAACCTTTTTTCAAGTTCACATTTTTCATTTTTTTAAACAGCCCGAATTGAAATAGTTTGTGCGCTCTATGGATAAAAATGAGCAAATTGGAAAAAAAAAATGAGTGGGAAACCTCAGAAATCTTTCTCATTAGAAGGACCTTATTGAACTTAAAAGATCAGTTTAAAAAAAAAAATGAAACTATTGACCAAAATATTGAAGGATGAGGACCGATTTTGAAGAAAGAACCAAAAATGGGCGTCAGACGGTTTCGGTCAACAAGTCAAGAAGAAAATAAAACAAGGCAAGGGATGATGAAGAGAGGAAAATTGACTGGTTTCGACCGCCCACGAGACAAAACAACAAGACAAGGGCCGATCACGTCTTCTGGAAACAGAAGACGTCAATTATGCCGACGTCATCTATCGATTCGAACCCTCCAATATGTGTGAAGGGGGGTCTCGGAAAACGGAGAATCGAGGTCAAACCGCCGGTTTTTGTCACCGCGGGATCAAAAAAACGAGAACGTTGGACAAAAAAAGTCGGCATTTTTTTGAGTTGAAAAACTTGTATTTTTGATACAAAAATTATTGTAAGATTAAGAACTTTATGGCAAATTTTTCAAATCTTTGTTCTAAAAAAATTTATCTTATAATTTTTTTGAAAATAAAGAAAGGAAGTCAATTTTTTTAAAAAAATTCTCTCGGCAAAACTTGTAATTGACATTTTTTTCGAAATTGATCAATTTTTCAAGCTCTCTTTGAGCAAAATATTCTTTCAAAAAAAAATTTTTTTCTCAACTTCAAAAAAATAAGTTCATGTTTGAAAATATGAATGGTCCACCCGCCAAAAAAATTCGAGTTTTTTTGAAATTTTTTTATTTTGCTCAAAAAAATTTTTTTGGCTTACAGAGGGGGGGTGATAAAACCAAAATTCGATTTTTTTAGTTCAAGTTTTTCTTAGTTTCAGTGGAAAATTTTTGAAATTTTTCGGCTTCAGCTTGTGGTGAAAAAAACGGAAATTTCGCTCCAGATGAGGTTTTTTTCAATTTGTTGTTAGTGTACAATTTATATTAGAAAAAAAGGATTTCCTTTAAAATTGAAAAAAATCGCAAAGCTTTGATTTTTTTCACATTATAAGAGCCCTATATAAAAAAATTGACCAGTTTAAGAAATTTGAAAAAAAAACCAAAAGCCCCTTGATCAAAAGTTGATTTATTATAAACCGAAAAAGAAAATTATTTTGTCTTCTCTATGGTAGTTTCCTGTTGGGTCGTCTGTTGGGTGGTCCTCTGGGTTTCAATTTCGTTCTGAGTTTCAGCTTCTCTCAGATTTTCGACGTCTTTGGTTCCTGAGACGGTTTGTTGGGTGACAGCTTCCCTTGACGGGAACGCCGTCTCTTCTTTCGTCACCGCCGTCTTCGGAGTGGCCTCTCTAGGGGTTTTCGTTTCATTGACGATCGTTTCCGTTTTCTCGAGCAAAGTCTTGGGATTCACAATTTTTTCCAGGGACCGGATCGTCGTATAAGCCGTCCTTTTCTGGGGAGTCTCGGGCTGGTTTTTCAAAGCGACCATAGGCAAATCCTGGACGACGTTCTTGAATTTCAGGACTTTCGTTGATGTCGCTGGCTTTTGGCGGAGCTCGATTTTGTTCTTTTTCGCGTATTTGTCCACCAGGTTTTTCGCCTCGTCGTAGTCCTTCCCGATTTCTGCAACTCGTGTCACTTATCGAAGTGAGAAATAAAAAGATAAAGCACGGCGTTTTTTTTTTTTGACGCCCCGCTCATATATTTTCCGTAAAGTGTAGTGTGTAGTGTGCATGCACTGCGGCGCTCTCGAACATACCGTCTTCAAAGTTATCACCGCGAAATTCGAAATAATCTCCGATTTTCCGAAATTCAGTCACGTTTTTCCCTTTCTGGCGGCTATTTCTAATTTTGCGGAATCACTTTGAAGACGGCAAAAGAAAAATTGAGTTTTTTTTTCAATTAGAAATCGTCTCATGACCCAATAAACATGCGCCTTTAATATTCCCTGTTGTTCACGCATGTTTCCCATGACGTCACTTGAGAGCTTTGGCTCCGCCCCTTTAATTTTTGGTTTTACATTTCCTTCCAATAACAAAAACTCCGTGAAAGGAATAAAAACTGAAAAAAAATTTTTTTTGAAGAATATTTGCACGCAAAAAAATTTGTGATCTCGAATAATATCAAATTTTATTTCGATAGTTTAAACTCACCTTCATATTTTTTTCAATCATGCTCAAAAATCCGTCCTTTATTGTGAAGGCTGGCGGCAGGAAGATCAGCTCTGAAATTAAAAAAAAAATGAAATAAAAACGAAAAACCTCAAAAATCTCTGACCTGTCTGCGGCCTCTCTATCTCGCCGGTCATTTCTAAGTACAATTACGAGAGAAAAGAGAGCGCAGATAGGCTAGATAATTTGAAGTCATGAAAAAAGAAAAAAAAAAACTAACTTCCAACGTTATCTTCATACTGCTCGCCGACCTCCATCAGCTCGAACCTCCGACGCAAATCGTGTTTTTCGAGGAGTTCGAGCAGTTTCTTGTCCTCTGGCCTGGCTTCAACTCGCAATCGTTGCAGAAGGTGGTAAAATTCTGAAAAATAGATGCTATGTTATTGCGAGTGTTTTCTTTTAGAAATCGCTACTTACAAAAAAAAAATAAATATGAATATTCATGACAATACAAAAAAAAAAGCAGGAGCGAAAAATTCCTACTGTACGCGCATTTGTGGTGCAATTTTGCGTCGCTCTGCACTTCGGTGTAATTTAACCTCAAATTCAGAATTTCCTAATAAATTTTTTTATTTAATGTTTTTTTGCAGCATTTTGAGTTGAGGTTTGTTATTTTTTTGTTATTTTGATTGTAAAGATCTGTTTTGAGTGTCTTGAAGAAAAGGAAATGTGAAGCAAAAAAATAATTGATTATTTTTTTGAAAAAAATTGTTTAAAGTTTGAAAGTTAAATTTTTTTCGGTATCCTTGAAATAATTGAGAAGCAAGTTGAGCATTTTTTTAATTAATAAAAAAACGGATAATTAGTTTGAAAAAAAGTGCAAAATGAAAACAGGCATATTGAACCGCTCACAAAAAAAGTTATATATCACAACTCGCGTGTGATGCGTGACGCACATTTAATTTTTTTGGTCTTTTTAAGATTTCGTAAGTATTAGGAAAGGTTTTTATTAGAGAAAAAAATTTATTTATTTTTTTTTTTTTTTGAAACTGTTCGTTATCCGATTCTTTTGAATATTGGATTTCTGTTTTTTTGTATACATTAAATGAGAAATTTACTTTTGATATACACTAGTGATGTTCGAATCGCTTTGATATTCAAAAAAATAATAATAAACTCTTTTTTTGAAGGGTATAATTTTTTTGAATATGTTATTACTACTAATAATTATTCAAAAAAACAGATATATATATATATATATATATTTTCACGCGTAATTTTTTTCGTTGGCTCGATTTTTCGCAGCTTTTTTTCATCATATATTGTTCTGAACGCGGCATCAAATCCTATTTTTCAGGCCAACCGTGCATGTCCTTGACGGCGTGAACAGGCTTGCCGGTCCGGTCGACGAGTCCGGCGTAGGCCGTTCTCGTGTTCACTCCCAACCTTTCCAGCCGTTCGATCGCCACCAACTGACTCAAAGAAATCAGCGACGACGTCAAAACTGAAAAACAAGTTAGTTTTTGTCTTTCCATGTATATCAAACCTTTTTCGTGAAGTTCGCATTGATTTTCCTGTTCGGCTATTAGGCATTTTATTAAGCCCAAGTGCATCCCTGGAAGACTGGAAAATATGGTACTATTCCAAATTTTTAAAGGAACATAGCTGAATTTCAAAATGGGCATCGAGGCGAAAAGCTGTTTTTATTTTGGGCCATGCGAGATTTTTTTGCTTTTGAAGGCCTCAGCAAGGCCTATTGAAAAGTTTGTTAGTAGGAATTTGGGGAAAAATTCGGCGTTAAAATGAAGTTTTTAAAATGATCAAAGTTTCAGGAAAATTTTCAATTCGTCTAAAATAAATCTGAATGATAAAATTTACAAGTAGATTTAAAAAAAGAGAAATTTATAAAAAAATTTCACTGAATATTTTTCAAAAAAAGAGCTAAGAATTCCCGGTTTTTCTAAGAAATCTTTTAAATACCAAGGTGAAAAAGAGCTCCTCATGTCATTTTCACGAAACTTTTTTGACAAAATCCCAACTTTCAAGCCCCTTACACATTCTGCCGAGCGTCTTGTCGATGCCCTGGCCGGCCTCCAATTTCTTCATTCCATTGACCACGTTCATCCGGAAGCCATCGTCTTCGGCTTTGAAATTCCTGAGGGGGTGCGTCGAATCGGACAGTTCCTTCGACGGGGTCGGTCCTATCGGATTCGCCCCGAGAGGCTTGCTCTCCACGCCGGCTTTTCCACGATTTTCGCCGCTTCCCACTCTCGAGGGGTATTCAAACGTCAAAATGTCGACCGTTTCATTGACCGTCGTCTTGGTTTTGCCCTTCTCGGCCTCTTCTTCGTGTTTCTTTTGCAGTTTCTCGGCCTTTCCGCCTCCCATTGAGTAGGCTATTGGATCCGGCTTGAATGGCGGCTCATAATGGGTCATCCAGACGCTAAAGTCTTGATAGGATATTTCGAAGCACCTTTCGTAGGTTTTGTGACGGTTCATCGCGTTTTTTAGGTTCCCGTATGCGGCTTCAACTGGAAAAAATAAGCATTTCGAAAGGGATTTTTGTCTTAAAAAGAAGAAAAAGTCTTTTTTTTAAGTTCAGAAAGCTATAGAGTTTTGAAAAAAAAGTCATTTCACTTTGGGGTTGGGATTTTTCTGAAATTCGACCAGGAAACTCCTGGATGTACCAAATGAAAATAAAGAAAGTCTAAACCTGCACAACTTTTTAGTTTTTAATATATCAAGACTCAAAATACCAAAATGGCCTATTCTAATGGATTTTGAGTGTTTTTGTTGACTTTAATCCCTTATTTTTGAAAAACTGCAGGTCAGGATTTTCAGGCTTCTCATCTGGTGGGTCAAAAAGTGTCTTGACCGATTTTCAGAAAAATCCTAACCGCATAGTAAAATAACCTCTTCCGAGGAATAGAATTTTTTACAAAATCCTTCAAAAACTAGAAATATTTTTCTGAAGGCTCTTGAAAAACTATCTTTGTAGGTATTCTCCGACTTATTTATAACTTATAAGAAAAACGAACAATTATCGTAATAAGCTTGCATGGGAAAAAAATGTCCGACAGGTTAGCAGCTGAAAAAAATCTTTCAAAAATCAATTTTCATCATTCAACTCAAATTTTACCCAAGAAGCAGTGGTTTTGAAGATTTTTGGACCAACAGGTGATGAACTCGAATCGCCAGAAAATCTGCTGAAAAATCGAAATTAAAAGATCAAATTTGTAGAAGCAACTAACTTCCCGTGACCAAGTCTTTCACAATTTTTTTCGACTTCGACCAATTTTTTTGTTTTTTTCTGAAAATTTATATTAAAAAGTTGAGAGTTCGATTTAACGAACCTTTCGCATGCCGGAGACAAAAAAAGTATATAAAGAAGTAAAATAATTAATAACCAAAATAAGGAGGTTGCGATTGAGGTGGACACAACTGCGACTGAAAAATAAACATTTTGATTTGAAACTTTCGATTATTTTCTAAGTTAATTTTAACGGAGGAAAAGATTTTTCAGGCCAGTTATATAATATTTTCTTCAAACTGTTTCATATTTTTTATTACCCTTTCTAGTTTTTTTTTTTGGTATACTTAAATTTTGAAAAGTAAAACCTATGAGATTGCATTTGCCCATTTCGTCCTCGTCGTCGGCGTTCAATTTTTTGAAGGGAAATTTTGCCTTGGAGCACGGTTCGAGCAGAAACTGTAATTAAACGCGGCCATTTTTTGAGAAATATTTTCAAAAGTTTGAAAATAAAAAAAGTTTTGCTGCGCTTTGAGTGACTTTAGATGGGTTCACATAAAAGTGCGCCCGACCTTGAAACGACTTTAGCCCAAAATTTTTCGATAATATGTTGAGCCATAGCGCATTGAGCCATTTTTTTAATTTTTATCTCAATTTTCAATTGTTTAACCTTGTTGTTTTTTTATAATATCGATATAAAATACTTATAAACCGTTTCGTCAAGGTTTTGAAGATATTTGAGCGGCGTCGGATGCATGTAATCAATGTCGAAAAAGGTCCCCGCACTACAGTAGTCCAAAATATTTTCCACGACAATCGAGGTCAGATTCAAAAAAGAATCTTCTGACACATTTGTATTGCGAATTCGGATCAGCGGACCTAAAATAGATTTTTTTAATGTTCAGAATGTGCTTTACACGGTTTGAATAGCTCAAAAGTTAAGAAAAAGATGGAGATTTTTGGGGTTCTCAGTCGGTAGATCAAGTGATATTATCGCCAATCTTGAGGAGTTCAGAGTGATATCACCCTCTTAGATATACTAAAAAGTTTTAAAAGTGTGCGAATTTGAAAAAAAAAGGTCTCACTAATATTTTAGGTCAGAAACTTCTCCTAACCTGTTCCATTGAAGCTGATAGCCGTCAAGCTGTCCAGGTGAACAATGTCCGGAATGTCCTCCAGAATGATATTCGCAGAGTGTTTCACGTAGCTCAAAAAGATTCTGGCCTCAGAAGAAGATTTCATTTCTTGTTTCGCCAAGGCGATCATTTTGGTATAACAAGGTAATTGGCAACCTCCCAAAGACTCGTCCTCCCAGCCGAAAAGAGGTTGATCACAGCACTCTTCAAGAAATTTTCTGAGAAAAAATAGAAATTGAGTAACGAACGGGCTGCAGCTGTGTTCAGATATTGGACTTGTACCATAATCAAGAGAAAAATTGTCATTATTCCTGAAATTAAGGCGATTTTTATGAGTTTCTGTCAAAAGTATGAGGTTTTGATAGATTTCTCTCGCAACCGTCTTGAGACAAAAGAATTTTGACACGATCAGCGAAATATCTTGCGAAAAGAAGAGGTTCAGACGGCGATGCGATTTTTGCTTCAAGCTACCGGTAAAAGAACTCATTCACCACGTCTTGAACCTGTCTGCGCTCTCTTTTCTCTCACAAACGGACCAAGAGAGAAGTGACGAAGATCTGGGAAAAAGGAGGCCCGGTGAAAGATCAAGAGAGAGCAGACAGTTCAGAAATATTCAAATTTCGACGAATTTAGTAGGAAAAGCAGCTTTTTTTTGAATTATTATAAAAAAAATTATTAATCAGAGCCAAACCTGTATGAGAGAATTTTGTTCGAGATTTCATTCCGATTGCAGAACACTTTAAGCGACTTTCCTACGCGGAAAGCGCTGCCAAAAATGGTCATTCGAGTAGAAAAGTTCACGTTCAAGCCTTTTTTTTATCCTATTGAGATTTTTTCAACCGATTACGACGTACTTTTTGACTTAATTTCGTATGCCCATTTTTTTTGAAGCCCTCAAGTTGAAGTCTCAAAAAAAGGCTAAAATTTGATCCATTTTTGAATTTGATGATTTGATCTTCTCGACACAGGCAGAGTCCAAATGACCTCAAAAAGAATTTGAAAGGAAGAGCCTAAAGCTCCTTGTTGAGTTCTAAAAAGGTGTCAAAAGTACCTCGGAATCTCTTCTTCCCACCTTTTTTCCACTTCCTTTTTTTTACACCTCCTTGAAAGGTCCTTTTTAGAGAAAGGTCTGAAAAAAGCGCCTTTGAGGCCTATTGGAGGTCTTTTTTCAGTCCTTTTTGAGACCTCTTTAGAGCTTTGCCTGTGATTCAAGTCAAGCGATTTTTGGCCTTTTTCTGAAGCCTTCATTTGCAATTAGCTCGATAATAAATTATGTTTCTAAGTTTTCAGATTCAATCGTTGAAAGGTCCTCCTTCAATATTTTCAATTCGGAGGTAAATGAATTATGACTGGACACCCTCGGAGATTTTCAAAACATTTTTGTCGGCTAACATTCAAAAAATCACATTTTCTTATCAAAAACCGAATTTTTCCTTTCTTATTTCGCAAGAACACGAGAAAAATCAAAAAAAAATTTCATTTCAATCAATAAAAATAAAGGCGTAAATTGGGTTGGCTTCTACTTTTTGTTGCCGCTGGACGGCTGCTGCGATTTCTCTACTTTCTTCGGCCCTCCGGATGGCTTCGACCGTTGAGGCTTCGTATCTTTTTTGGGAGCTTCAGCCTCTTTTTTGAGAGCTTCAGCTTCTTTCTTGGGAAGGGCTTCACTAGATCGTTTGGCATTGGCAAGGCGAATTTTGGGGATCTCTTTCAGTTCGACCGGCACCTCTCGAATCACCAGATTGTTCTTTTTGGCGTATTCTTGAGCCAAAGTCATGGCTTTATTGTAGTCGTTTTGGATGTCTGAAAAATGAGGATATTGTATTTCGATCGAATTCAAGTACTGCAACTTCCAAATCTATTATGTTTTGTCTTTAAAAGGAAATGATTATTGTTTGATTTATAGTCAGAGAATATGAATAGAAGGTGTGGAAAGTCGAAGAAACTCACTTTTATACGTTTCGATTGTTTCCATGAAGCGATTTCTATTCAGAGGCACGGGATCGAGGAAAGAGAGTTCTGAAAAATAATCGTTTTTCCCGATTCCTTGTCTGTTTTTTTTTTTGGTCTTACGTTTCTTTAACATATGTATCTTAAAAATCAGGCTATGTAACCAGGCTTTCTAACTTTAACTACGAAGCGCAAAGTTTTAAAAGTTTAGCTTAAACGATTTGGAATTGAAACTAGAAAAAACGGCTCTTTGCCCTTAGAAATCGCATCTCATGACTGGAATCGTCGCCACTATCCTAATAGATTAATTACTCAGCCTATAAAGGCTCCGCGCGAAAGTAGTTTCTCATCGGTTGCGCTGGAAAATCAGATCTTCTTAGTTTAACTTGCTTCAGAATGTCTTGAATTGAAGATGGTTCGAAAAACTCACTTCCGATGCAAGCGTTATAGTCGAGGTTAGCCTCGCGGAGCTCCAATCTGCGGCGCAAGTCGTGTTTTTCAAGAAGTTTCAGCAATTCCTTATCTTCCGGTTTGTTTTCGGACCTCAGCCGTTGCAGGAGGTGGTAGAAAACTGTAAAAGGCGAACTTCAAAAATTTCGAAGTTCAACAATGGGAGAATAATATCACTTTTTTTTTTTTTTCAAAGGATTAATAGCTGTGATTTTTCGAGTAGTCCTTTGATAGGGTACTGATTCTATCTCAAATCTCGTCCTTTACTACTCATAAACCGTCAAAACAGAGTTTGAAGTACTGGGAAGACCATAAAAATTAGACATAGTTACATTGTTACGTCTCTAGAGTTTTGAAAGGAAAAAAAATCTCAAAAATATAGGTTATTTTGCTTCATCTGTCCGGTTCTCCTGGTCTGCTTAGAAACCCAGAACCTGCTTTACTGTTTCCAAACGAACCGTGCATGTCCTTGACGAGATGAGCCCTCTTGCCATCCTTCGTGTAGAGTCCGGCATAGGCGACTTTCGTGTTAACTCCTTTCTCCTCCAATAGGTGCAGCGATTCGTAGCGACACATTGACTTCAGAGCCGAATGATAACCTGAGAAAAAACATCGAACTTGAGACGAAATCGATTATTCTCTTCTATTTTTCCAGCTCATTATAGAGCCCATTGTGCAATTTTCGAAATCTTATCTCAATAAGTAAACTTCACGGTTTCCAAAAAATTAGATAAAAATTATTTTTCTAAAAAGCATTTTTGAGCAAAGTCTTGCTTAAATCTACCTTTAGTCGATCCTTCCCAAATTAAAAGGCCAGGGTAGTTTGGCAAGGGTGACGCTCGAATTCAAACGCGACCCAGCATTTTTTGATGTTTTCTGATCCTCTTTGGTATTTTTCAATAAATTTCCACTTTCTAAGGTTCCGAAATAATTTGGTTGATCGGAAAAAGTATGATAGCAATTAAAATCCAAATTTGTTACACTTATTCATGACCTCGACTGTCTCGCTAAAAGCCGCGTCGCACACGCGACGCATCACCCTTGCCAATCTACCCATCTCGCCTTTCAAGTCGGGGAAATTTGACTGTAGAAGCTTCAAAAAGGGGTGTTCAAACCTAACAACAAACGTGCTATGCAATCGAGTATCGACCAACGGTCAAATATTTATAAAGTTTTCGCTCAAAGTTAGTTCCTAGTTCCTGCGTACTTGTTATTTCTTGTTGGCCTTGTCCAACTTGAAGCTCGAAAAACTCCTTGACAGCGCCAATATTACTCCCTGGAAAAAAAATCAAGGACTTTTTTAAACTCGAAAATTTCCACTGACAGATATTGAGAAGATATGTGGTGCTCGGGAAGGTTCTTAAGGGGTTCTCGTGGCTGACCATCGTATGCAAATCGTGCAAAGCCCCGAAAAGAATGGACAAGGAGTTTTCAATGGTCTTGCGACTGGCAATTGAGGCCTCGTCGTCGTCCAGGTAGCAAATGTCCTTTTCCTCTTTTCGTCGTTTTTCGGTTCGTTTTTCTTCGGGCTCATCGACGGCAGGAGTGTCCAGTTTGTTAACGGTTTTTTCTCGCTTCTCGACGTCGACTGGCTTCGTAGTCTTGTCTTCGGCTCCAGCTTTTTTCGGGTCCTCGACGTCGACTGGCTTCGTAGCCTTGTCTTCGGCTCCAGCTTTTTTCGGGTCCTCGACGTCGACCGGCTTCGGAATCTTGTCTTCGGCCCCAGCTTTTCCTCGCATCTCGACGTCGAACGGCTTCAGGATCTTGAGCTCGGTTCTAGCTTTCTCTCGCTCCTTGATGTCGACCGGTTTTAGAATCTTGAGCTCGGTTCCAGCTTTCTCTCGCTCCTTGATGTCGACCGGCTTCGGAATCTTGTCTTCGGCTCCAGCTCTTTCTCGCTCCTCGACGTCGACCGGCTTCAGGATTTGGATTTCCTTCCCGGCCGGCGCTCCTTTTTTCTTGGCCGCCTCGATAACTGCCATGTGCTCTTTCATCACCGCATACAAATTTTGGTTGGCTTTCCGCTGTTCTGGAAAAGTCCAATCTTGTACGTTTTCGACTTCCATTTCGTAGTCGCGGAAATCGAATTCTCCGTTCTTTTTCAACGTCTTTCTAATGTGATTCGTCTTATCCAACGTCTCAGACAGGAGATTCCCTGAATAGCTTTAATAATTTAGCTTACAACTAGCATAGCAATTCTCAGTCTTCGAATAAAAAAAAGACTCACAAACTTGAAAGTCGTTCTCGCCGTAAAATCCGACACTCCTCAAGTTATCAACTGCAGAAAAATTGAATGAAAAAGTTATAAAAAATTGGAGAAATTCACCTAGAAATATGTCGCTTTTAAGTCGTCGTATGAACGTGGTAATCTCCAGAATGGCAAGTTCTCGTGCTGAAAAATGATACTTTTGTTTCATTTTTCTCACATCGAGCTTCTTTCAGTTCAAACACAATGTTACAATAAACAGTCTTGAATAAAGTTGGGATAGAAACAATTGGATAGATTTTGTACTCACTTGCTTCATCAATCAACTTGAGGCAATTATCGTAATAGTTTGGCGTGACGATTGGAAATCCATCGGACTGACAAAAAAACAATTTTAAGCATTATTTTCAAAAGGGTCAATCATTGGTAGACTTCTTGAGAACGGAAAAGGGATAAAAATGATTAGGCCATGTTTTTTTTTCATGGAATAAACCACAGATTTTTTAAACCCCTGGTTATACAATCTAATCTAATTTTCTTTCCTAAAAACCTAAGTTCGCGCTTTTCTAACAGTTTTTTGTAACTTATTTATAGGATCATCAAAATTTTTTTTAAAGTTAATAATGCTTTATTTATTTCATTCACAAAAATATCATATGTGAAAAAAATCAGGAGACACTTGTCCGCTGAAAAAAGTGCGCCGCTGACTGAGAAGAGGGCATAGAAAGTACAGACGTCTTTCTGAAACCGACTCTGAATTCCCTATATCCTATCACTTCTCATTTTTCCTTTGTTTTCCTTTTTTTAGATTCAATTTTTTCTTTTCGGAAGGTTTCTTAAGGGAGGTTACGGAAGCTTCATTTTGTACTCACCGTTTCCCATGGGCTCCGTTTTCCAGCTTTCCGCCTCTTAACACAAATCACCTTTTTTTTCTAAACAAAAAATTATAATACAAACCACATAAAAGTAGCGGAAGAGCAAGTGCGCCAAGATACCGATCACTACCACCCAACCACACGACGTAAACAGGAATATGGACCAGAATGGAACTGTAATAAGTTGTTTCTTTTCAACTCTCAATTCTTTCAAATGGAATTCTTACCCCAGTCTGGGCAGAGTTCCTTTTTATTGTAGTTCAAAATTGGAACTTGGATCTCAGGTTTAGTCGAAGGAGGATTCTCGGGAGCCGAAGACGTAGAGCATAGGTCCGAGGAGACTGAAGGGTCCGTCGTACACGGAGGACAAGTTGGAGAATTCGCGGCCTTCGCCTCCTTACATGGCTCGATCAGAAACTGAAATGAAGATTGATTCCGAGTCTTTCGAGTGCTTCTTCAACCTTATCGTCCAACTTCAGCAGTCTTTCGAAAGGCTCTGCGTGCATGTAATCTATGTCGAACAACGAGCCGAAATCACAACGATGCAGCGGATTGGATATGTTTATGTCGGTTAATTGCGAGAACGACTCATTTGTCACGTTTGTATTGCGGATGAAAATCAGAGGTCCTGAAATAGTGTGGGTCGTATAGTCATTTTTTCCCGACTTGAAAGGCGGGGCAGGGGGCGGGACGCGTAGCGTGTGCGTTCGCGGTTCTTGGCTCGAGTTCAATTCAACCGCCAGCGACTCTTCGGAAAATCCGTTTTTCGCTCTTTCCATTCCTTTTTCAATTATTTATTGATTATGTTCATGTGTGCATCAAAAAATAGTAGAAAACGTTGAAAAAGAGCGGTTGCCGAGCTTTTTAAATAGTCGGCGGCAATTGAAATGAACTCGTGCCAAGAACCGCGAACGCACACGATACTCGTCCCGCCCCCTGCCCGCCTCCTTCGCCTTTCAATTCGGGAAACATTGACTATAATAATTGAGATTTCGCTAAAAAGGGGAAGGCCCCTGGATGAATGAGACCACGTTTTCTCGAGGTAGTTTTTCATGCTGATTTCAAATATGGCCTCAAAAGTTGCCTAATACATCTGTGAAAAAGGTTAAGAAATTTCGAAGTCTCTGATCGAGCTCATGGGAAAATTCCAGAATCGCCCCCCACACTGTTTTTGCCCCCCGCGTTCCAACAAGCCCCCCACCAAGCCAAGTTCCGATCTGTGGGGGGTAAAATAGGAGGACTTCATGTGGGGGGAAGAATCGAACGCGGGGGGTGAATATGTATTCTAGAATGGCCCCCCACAGTACAAAACGGGGGGCGATTCTGAAATGCCTAGGCAATCTTTCATATTTGCCCCCCGCACGGCTTTGAAATAGTCCCCCCAGAGCTCATTCGAACAAGCCCCCCTCCCATTTCAGAATGACCCCCTCTCATTTCAGAATGGCCCCCTCCATTTCAGAATGGCCCCCTCCCATTTCAGAATGGCCCCCCTCTATTTCAGAATGACCCCCTCCATGTCAAGCATTTTATTTATTTGACGAATTGTTCACTGTGGCTCAGTTTTTTTCGAAGCGAGCCACAGTCGGCTTCGCGCTATGCGCGCTCCGCCTCCGTGTGAAGTTTTAAAACTAAGCCTATTTTTCCTAAGTAATTTATTAATTAATGTGCATGAAAAGAAAAAAAGCAAAAAAATTCTATTCCTCAGAACAATTACTTGATTGAAAACTAATAAAGTTCGTCTTAAATTTTTCTAAGTGGTCAGCGCCCCATAATTTTATGATATTCGTACGTATCTCGGCGAGACGTACCCGTAAACTTCTTTGTCTGACTTGAACTTCTGATGAAACTCGGTCAGCGACCTAATTTCTTCCATGGTCTAAAAAAACAAATCACAAAAAAATTATTAAATTCACAAAAAGAACACGAATTTACATGCGAAAATACAAAAAAAGCCATTTGAAACAACCAAGAACGACAAACGATACGAAAAAAAATTTGAAAATAAATTTAAAAATGGAAGCTCTGACACGTGTCCTGCGTGATCGTTGCGTGACTTTTTTTCGGTGTGGGGGGTTATACTGGATAGTTCCGGGGGGCTATATTGGATAAGTGTGGGGGGGCTTGTTCGAACGTGTCGCGGGGGTGATATCCAACATATGCGGGGGGCTATACTGTAATATGCCCGAGCTCATTTTTGGAGAGTATATATATTCTCTCCCTATTGTATCAAAAAACAGAAACTCAATCACTTTTCAGCGAAAAAATTCTAAAGCGTAGATATTAATTTTCAAATCTCCGGCAAACACACATGTAAGAGGATGCGAGCGTGGTGTAATCTTTAGTTGGAGAAGAAAAATTGCATTCCATTCAAAAAATTTTGATTACCTGAGCCATCGGAAGTGATCGACTTTAGCTTGGAAAGGTTGAAATCCTGTGAGTTGTCTTCTAGCCTGATACTCGAAGAATTTTCCAATACGGTCAAAGCATATCTTGCCGCCGACACAGTATTTTTACTAGAGGTTGTATTCTGGTCCGTAATGGCGACCAATTTTCTTGTGCATAAAGATACACAGGTTCTATCTAAAAAAGATTCATCACGCAACCCGAAAATAGGTAATTCACAGCATTTCTCTGAAAAAAAAAAGATTGCAAACTATTCATTTTTTTGATAAAACATACCAGCTTGAACAGTTTTTATATATTGAACATGAAGAAGAAACCCAAGAAAAAAAATATATGAATTCTGTAAACACAGGATTGAGAAAAAGATTTTTTTATATTTTTTTGCGTACCGTGTCAATTGACCATAAAAAAATAATGGTCATTTGGTCTTTCAATTTTTTTAAACAAGTGCAATCGAATCAATTTTGAGAAGTTTTTTTGAATTTTTATTTAAAGATGTTGAAGCCATTTTACAAAAATTTTTTTCTTTTTCTTATTCAAATTTTTTTGCCGGAAGGGGTTTAGAAACTACTAAAAAAACGACAAAAAAAGGACGGTTTCAACTATCTCTTACGTACTATCTCCCCAAATTCAGCAATTGATCCACGTTAAAAATTGCAAAACAAAGTTCTCCAGAAAAAGAATTCGAACCCTGACCACAGCTTCCACATTGCAAGGACGCTAACCTAGGGACCGCAGAGCCACGCCCACTTCGCTGTTCAAAAAAACTTCGTCATTTTTCGTTGCATTTTTGGTTCTTTTTTTATATTTTTAAAATAATTTTTCTTGTACCGATTTGAGAAAAAAATTGGGGAAACATACAATCGGCTATGCTTAACAATCCTACATAAAAAGAAAATACTGAAAAAAATAAGAAATAAGAATGTACGACGAGTTTTTTAAAACGCATTTGTGGCCGAAAACGGATAAAAAAATCCCGTTTTTTTCTTGAAAGTTTCTGGGCAACTTTTTATTCTTGAATATCATAAAGCAACTAAAAAAACGCATATTCTGGCAAAAAAATAAAAAAATTCTATGGTTGGCCTCAAAAAAATAACGCAATTTGAAAAATCACGATTTTCGAAATTCCTTATTTTTCGAAAAAAACGCAATCGATAATTACTGATTATATTTTTTTAAACGGTTGTTTGCAGTTGTTTGCAAATCTTAAAAAAATTGAAAAACTGAGTTTTTTTCATTGATTATATAGTTTATATGAAAGCTTAAAATTTCCGTTTTTTTGTAACGCTTTGAAAACGGCCCAAAGCGTTCTGGGCAAGTTTTTTTATTTCATAATATCAAAGATTAGACATTTCTCTACAACATATCAAAAAATAAAAAAATTCCTAGGATGGCCCGAAAAGTATGGTTTATTTAAACGCTCGAAAGTATTTTTTAAAACTGCGCGTCGCTGGAAATCTGCAGACACCGCGAAGGCCACGAAATTTTTCGAAAGCGTGAAGAAGGTTTTTTTAAAACTATTTATGTATTCTATTCAAGTTTTTCTCATTTTTATTGTGGCTTTATAGTTGCTTTTTTTACTCATTTCATAATTGGAATCTTTTTTTCCTATATCATTATATCCATTATAGCAGCGAGAAAAGTATTAAATTGCGCTTTTACTCAACTTTTTTTGAATTTTTACAGAATGTCAAGTAAAGAATTCTTAAAATTGTCTACGTACACTCCATGTAGACGCACAAACTTTAGAGAAAAAAATAAAAAGAAGTAGAAAGTCAAAAGTAAAAACGCTTTCGCCCTTTTTTTTAAAAAAAAAACTCTCTGAAAAAAAGGACTTGGTGATTATTTAAATATTTTTTTCAGTAAATTTCTTAGTAGACTGTTTCATTTTTCAATTCGGTTTAATGCTGTTCGTCCTTCGCAAAGGTCTATTTTTGTCGGTTATTTTTCTTTTTTTCACGAAATGCATTGAAACCTTTTTTTCAAAACTCGCTTTTTCAGCAGCGTGAGTGCTTGAAGAGTAGGCTGATATTGAAAAAGAGCAGTATTCAATATGAAAACTCTAATATTTAATTTAAAAACTTCTAAAAAAACTCAAATAAATATGTTTTTCGAAACGTCTCCTGCGTGAATTAACGCACAGCAAAGAGCGCGCGGCATCTATAAACACGCCCCTTTTTCCTGCGACCCTGACGAAAGTTTCTACACAAAAAAATGGTTCCCCCGATTTCGCCACTTTTTTGCTTATAACTTTTTTTATTTTTCATATTTTTCTTTTCTGTTTTCGCAGTTAGCTCTCGATTGCCATCAGCTTTCTTTTCATATAGGTTTCAACTTTATATCACTGACTTTGGAAATTGACCTGCGGTCCCTACGCTAACCACTACACCACTTAGGAACTTTTCCCAGGATCACAAGAGTATTAAATTATTCGCAGTTGGAGAAGTTTCCAAAATTTGCGCCAGCGGAACTCTTTAAGACTTGCAGCGCTTCTAAAAAGGACCGAAAATCCATTGCGTTTTTAGTTTCTTTAAAAAAGAGAAAAAAAAGGAATATAAATCGGATCTTCGATTAGAAAAAAAAAAACCTCTTAGTGGACATGTGAACCTCATCTTTTTTTGCTCCAAGGAGACAAAACCCCGTAATGATTGATATATGAAATGACTGAGGGCCAATTTGTTTTCACGTCAAAATGAATTATTCAAAAAAAGCAGGTGGTTATCATTTTTTTTTTGCGGTATTTTGAGCAAAAAAAGTTTTTTTTTAAGTAGCTTCATATTCTGCTAATTTTCTGAACGCATTATTCCCACAGTTAAGAATTTTTTTTCGAGTAGAGAAGATGAAATTGGAGAATTTGAGTCATAATTTTAATTCTTTTTTTAAACGTTTCCACGGCGTTCTGAACACTGAAAAAATAATTTTGAAGAGTGAAATAATGTTGCTCCAGTGAGAAAACCCATTCCAACTTAGATGCTCGGCTGCGCGCGAAAATTTAAAAGTCGATACGTTTTGCTTTGAATTTTCATTTTTTTTTTTTGATATTTGACTAGTTCTGTTTGTTTTACTCTTTAAATATGTTGATAGGCTAATTTTACGAATTTTTTTAATCTTGTATGATATTATTCTCTTTCATTTAAATTTCCTGTTTGTCGAGGTTGTAACGAGTTTTTTGATTATTAGAAAGCCTGAAACCAATCGAAAAAGTGCTTAGGTTTTTTTTTCACCTGCTCTGTAATGCTCAAAACATTTTGATTTCATAATTTTTGCACAAAAATGTTTTTCGATTCAGAAGAGTATGCCAATTAGCGCCGTTCTGTGTAGGCACCAAAGACGTCATATATTACGAAAATTGTTGGCGGCGCGTCGTCAAAAAGAATGCTGCGTTTCCTTCGCTTTTTATTTTTCTCGAATTTTTTTCTTCAACTTATAATGCAAAAAAACAAGAAACAGTGAAGAAACCAGTTTATTCAAACCAGTACGAAAAAAGAGAATTCTATGTTCGAAGGTGCCTTCATTTGTTCTCCTCATTTGATGGCTTCTGCTTGGATTTTTCTCCTTTTTTCGATTTCCCGGCTTCTTTCGAATCTTCAGGCTTTTTCCCGCTTTTCGAGCCTCCTGTTTCTTTTTTGACGTCAGCTTTGTCCATTAAATTCATTTCGTCCTTCTTCTCGAACTTGCGGAATCCTTTGAAAGTATCGTCAACTTCCAGTCCGATGGGAACTTCGCGGATCACCAGATTATTCCTTTTTTTGCGTATTCTTTGGTCAGCTGCACAGCTTGATCAAAGTCCGCTTCCAGGTCTGGAAAAAAAAAATAATCGACTCAAAAAAAATGATAGATTTATACAGAAATGGCTTCGAAACAACCAACTGAGAGGGTTTTTTTTATTGTAACCTTTGATAACCTTTTTTTAACTAACGTGAAGTCCGAAAATTTTGGGGCAAGAGATCTTATCAGAAACTAGTTCATTCCGCGCCAGCTTGTCACGATTCTCGTTTTCCTCTGAGCTACAGAACCCTTCCCTTCAATGTGTGCGATATTTTTATATGCATGCGCTTTTAATACGACGGAAATTCTAGGCCGAAAAACAAGCTGAAGCGGAATGACCTGTAGACTCGCTGTCGCTCTTTTTTTTAATTCAAAATATCAAAGCCCGCTCAATTATATCAATTTTAAAGAATTGTAAATCGCTTTGAGTTTCTAAAAAGGCATAAGAGTTCATCTCAACTCACCCTTATAAGGCTGGTACATCTTGAGAAAGTCGGTTTTGTCCAAAGGTGCTGGGTCGAGGTAAAATAGTTCTGAAAAGAATTAGTGTTCTTTTTTTTGATGTATACAGAGATTGCTTAAAGATATTACGGTTCTTATACTCAAAGACAAAGATCTTGAATACTAGGGCGACAGGTTGTGTGTCTGTCTACGGTTCAAAGGGTCACAAGTTCGATCCCCGCTGCGAACTAACCAGGGGTTCAAGAAAGGTTGAAAGTGGGAAACCACGACTCCTTATAATTCCAGCAGTTTATCACTGATATCAATACAGGACCTTGTCTCATCAACTTGACGCTGCTCGAGCGGTACAACGCCGTAAAGAAAAGATAATAAAAATTTCAAAAACGTGTACGGATTTAGTACCGGAACAGGCATTTAAAGCTAAACGGCGTGCGCCCCTGGTTACACTGCGGGGTGCACAGCCGCTTCTGTTAGAAAAGTTTGAAGTTTGAAAAAAACTTACTCTTCTTGGGAGGTTCATTCTTTTTCTTTCTGTCCATGTGGTACAACTGGACCCTGCGGCGGAATTCGTGCTTTTCGAGGATGTCGTACAAAGGCTTGTCCTCGGGCTTGCATTCGGTGCGGAGTCGCTTCAGAACGTTGTCAAACACTGAGAAACAAGTTCAGAACAGAAATTTTCTGTTTTTTTTTGTTCGGAAAAAGGTTTTCTCCTTGTCTGCGTTAAATCTTCGTTAAAAGATGATTTTAATCCATTTTTTCTGAGCTTGAAACGTCAGTTGTTGGAAAAGCTGCTTCGATACGTTCTGGCGCCACTTCAAAAATTATCGCATGCAGGAAAATTTGATGGGGAGCTTCTTGATACATTCAAATCAATAAATCCAAACCACCTTGTTGGAAAGTGAAAAAAATTGCTGTAATTCATTAATTTCTGCGACCATGAGCGAAACGTTTTCAAATTGGCGCCAAAAATGGATCGCCAACGCCGTGACGAGCCAAGAGTATACTAACCGTGCATGTCTTTGACGACGTGCAACCGATTTCCGTCCTTGTCGAAAACTCCGGCGTAGGCCATCTTTGTGTTGAGTCCTTCCTCATCCAATCGATACAGCAGTTCGAAACGACACAGCGAGTTCAGAGCCGATTGGATGACTGCAAGAAAATCTCTTCAAAATCTCCAAGTTAGGGATTTTTGTTAGCAAGTTTTTCATGGTGGGTCAACGTGATGCGTGGGTAGATTTTGAGAAACCGTGGTTTTGGTAATTTTGGCCTAGGAAATCCCTTCCAAAAACTCAAGAAAATCTTTAAAAAATTGTCTGGAGAAGATTTTCCTTTTTTCCGTTCTGTTTTAACTTTTTTGAAGAAAAGTGGGCGTGGCTCTGCAGTCCCCATCTACGTCTCACTGTTGTTTGATCCATTCTTCATCATCTAGAAAATACCTGTTCTCTCTTGGAAAGCGTGGTTCAACTGGTCGCTGAAGAAGGCTCGCGTCGCACCAAGATTCGCCCCTGGAAAAAAGAGTCGAATCCAGGAAAAATGTCGGAACTCTCACAGATATTGGCCATGGACTTGGTGATGTGAATGGTGGCTTCGCCGTTCTTGGCAGCGCCCTCCGCAGTGCCTTCCAGCCTTTTCAGTGCCTTTTCGGCCTGCTCCAAAGAGTACTTGACGATCTCGCGCTCCTCTTCCGGCTCGTCTTCGTCGATGTAGCAAACTTCCGGCCGGGGCTTCTCAATCACGACGCAGGCGTGTTTCCGACGATTGGCGCGCATTTTAGCAGGCGGAGGCTTCTCTGCTCCGGCGACCTGCCGCTGCTCGGCACCGTCGTACGAGGGCACTATCTTGAATATCTCGAGCTCCTTTCCAAACGATGGGACTTCTGATCGCTGTTGTGCGATGTCGGCTTCATAGAGTTCCTTCGCGGCTTTGACGTGTTCCCTTGCTTCGCCGATGTCGATCGGTTCCCACGTCTTCAAGGGCACAAACTGCAGAGCATAGTCTCGGAACTTGTACTCTCCGTCTTTTTTGCGAGTTTCGTTGATGGCCGTCATCTCATCGAGCTTCTCACCGAAGAGCTTGCCTGGAAAAAGTCAGAATGAGAATCTTAAAAGCCACATTGTTTTTCATTTCCTGGAATCTACCAAGTTGGATTGGACTTTGTAAAAGTTTGAATATATTCAAACAAAATTGTTAACACCTGGCTTAAGTTGTTCGTTAGATTACATAATATTAAAAAAAAATGTGAAAGCTGTCAATCACGAGAAAAAAAACTCACCGATCGTTCTAGCGTTTCCATTTTCATAGCCCACTTCTTCCAGGTATTTGCCTGCAAATTTCGAAACAAATGTAAAGTTGAAAATAAATTCCCAAATTACTCAAGTAGATGGTGTTCCTGAGACGTTTCGTGAAGTTTTGGTGCGCCAGAATTGCAATATTTCGAGCTGTAAAAATCATTTTATTTTGTCCGATGAGAAAAAAAAAATCTCACTGGCCCTGTCGATCTCTTCGATGTACATGCACAAGTTGGGAACGGCAGCGCTCGGTTTCTTAAAAGATAAAGAAAATTTGATCAAAGGGCGGTTCTTGCAACTCTATTATCTATAGAGCGCAAAAACTTTTTCATATGCGGCGCTTTTTTCCTACCGATTTTTCAATCGGTTTCAACTCTTAAAAACTCTCGAATCGTGTTCCAAACTGCAAATATGCGTTTAGGGTACTGTAAAATACAGTTTCCAGTAAACATTCGAACAATGTTTTTTGCTCCATTATATCAAAATTATCCTCTTCCTCTGAAAAACTCTCACCCGTACATCCTTCGACTTTTCCGTATCCTTCGGCTTCTTCTAAAAGTTAGTTTTCATTTTTGGTTTACATGTAAATTTCACCTGATGACGGAAGAAAATGAAGAAAAGAGTTCCAGCGACTAGAATCCAAAAGAGTGAAGCCGCAGTGATGGAAATGATGATTGGGACTGAAAAAAATTAATCGATCAGCCCTAATCTTCTAATGAGAGAGTTCAGCCGTACGAGAAATGGTTGGGCATAACATATACTATGCGGTTACATAAAAGAGCACCCGACTTGAAACGACTTGCGCTTATCTGCATAGAAACATTGCTATTCAAGTCGAATCTCATTTTCTTGAAGGAAAGACTGGCAAGGTGACGCGATGGTTTTGTTAGAAAAATAAGAAAGCCACCTTTTTTTCTAGAAGCTCAGGCTTTTCACTCGTCGAGAAACTCACCCAAACAGCTGCAGCCTTCCTTCTTCTCGTCCTTCGAGCTGTCTTGCTTAGACCCGGCGCCGACCAGAGAGTTTCGGGGAACTGCAGGTGAAGAGCCGCCGACCGAAGAGTTCGAAGAGGCCCCGCCGCTTCTACCACCGCCACCGTTACCGCCGCCTACGGCAGGACACGAGGGACACGAAGGACATGGAGGACGAGTCGTACGAGATTTCGCGGCTTTTGCCTTCTCGCAAGGCTCGAGTAGGAACTGAAATAGAAACGTTTTCTGAGTCTCGGGAGCTTGTTCAACCTTGCGGTCCAGTTCCTTCAGTCTTTTGAGCGGTTTTTCGTGCATCTGATCGATATCGAATAGCGAGCCGGCGTCACAATGACGCAACGGATCGCTAACCTTTATCTCGGTCAGCTTCGTGAACGAGTCTTCAGACACGTTCGTGTTCCTGATGCGGATGAGAGGACCTGAAATCAGTCGTGAAGCTGCTTGAAATCGCACTATTTCCACTTACCGAGACCGTCGAACGTAATCGTTTTCAGATTCACCAGCCTGACGACATCAGGAATGTCTTCGAGGACTATGCTCGACGAGTTATCCAAAGAATCCAAGAAGACTCTAGCCTCCATCAAAACACCGGCTGATGTCAATGTCTGACTCGAAATGGCGATCATTTTTGTGGTACATCTGTTACAGTTTGGATCTTTTAACGAGTCATCCTGCCACCCGTAAACAGGGGACGCGCAGCATTGTTCTGAAATGACTATTCAATACATCATATCACTTGAAAAAAACATACGGGCCGATACAGTACTCGTATTTTGGAAGTAGAGGAGAGCGAGAAGCAATGTGACTCCTGAAAAAAAAATTTTTCGTGTTCCTAATATGACTTCGACTTCGAATAAAAAATAAGGATAAAAAATAAGTATAATAAGCGTTTTTCAATCGTTTGAAACTATTTTCAAAGGTTTTCAAGGCTACCAGGCAGAGTATAAAAAAAAAAGATCATTTTTTCGGATGCGAATTAATGCTGAAAAAAACTTTAGTGACCAGTTAAGAGATCTTCAAGGACTTCTTGGAGAGGACCCTAAAGTGGCCACTCTTTTTCATCCTAGTGACTATAAGAGTTTTTATTGATCTACTGGCTCCATTCAGGCTTCTAGAAAGGACAATAAAGATAAGCCTCTTAAGTGACCACTAATTCGACTATTATAATCTGCAATAAAACGTCAAAAACCCAAACTGACTATTAAAAAACTTTCTAGTGAGTCGTCTGTTCATTCAGAGAAAACTAATCTTGAAAAATCTGCAGTAAAGAAAAAAACTCTACAGTATAGCATGATTATATCGATGTATCAAAAGCGAATCATGAAGTCAATGGATCTTTCGGTTATGTGATCAAGAAAACTGGCAAGGAACCTTTCAGGAAGAACCAGGGCTTCATCTTCTCGAGCTCCAGGAGAGTCGAAGAGTCTCCGTCGGATCTGAGATGGGAAATAGTTGATACCGACTTCGCTTCTACGTTGACGCCTTTTTTTCGAAGAGATCGTTATCTGATAAGTAATTTAAGTTTATTTTTGACGTCACTTGTTTCGATTTTTTTTCCTCACGTGAAAAGTTCATTTGAACATATTGTCTTTTAAAAGTTTTCATAAAAAAAAATTCAGTTTCAATAAATTGAGCGATTTTTTTAGTGTATTTTTGTCGATTTTTAATCAACTTTTCTATGAAAAATCCATCCATTTTTCAAAAAAAAAAAATATGAAAGGAGTGTCAAAACTCTCTCCTTTTCACACACTATTTCGATAGTCGTGCCAAGACCATATTTTTGAATTATTTTTAACGTTTTTTCATAGAAAGTACTGTCACTTTTGCCTGTACTGGGAAAAGACTCAGAGCACCAGCCAGACTGGAAACTAGACTGGGCATTCCAAACTGCCAAATTAACCGTCAAAACTCTCTCCTTTTCACACACTATTTCGATAGTCGTTCCGAGACCCTTTTTTTGAAGAAAATTATGATTTTTTCACAGAAAGTACAGTTACTTTTGCCTATAAATAAAGTAGTGTGAACCCCACTTTCCCAACTCATCTTTTGGATTTCCAGGACGCGTTCCGTTTTCTATTTCCTTGTCAAACTTTGGAAGTAAAAAGAGGCCCGGAAAAAGTTTGTCCTTTTCCAATTCAAAGATCGGCGTGGAGCCGAATTCCAAATTAGGCGGCGACAAGGGAAATTCGCCCAATTTTCTAAACAATCTATTTGATTAAGTTTGTTTGACGTCAAGCCGTGTGTCATAAAACGTTGCTTTTAATTTTTCGAGTAGGTTCTTTGAAATTTTGATATTTGCGAAGGTTTTCTGAAAGAAATGCTTTTTTTCTCTGCGCTCTCCTCGTCTCTCGGCGACCCTCTCATTTTGATGTGTTATTTTCAAGTTTCTCTACCCTCGTCGGTGCATAGGGAAAAAAAAGGCGGAAGGACCCGTTACGGGTCCTTTGAGGGTCCGTTATGGGTGCAAAAAGGTTTCCTTTTTACTGCCTTTTTCCGTCCTTTCATCGGCCTTCAACCACCCTTTTTGGACCCTATTGAGAAAAAAAAAACATTTTTTTGATTGAAAATAAATTTTACCAGTGACTGTGTATGAACCAAAAATGTGCTATAGCAATAAAATCGGAAATCATTCTTGACCGAGACTTTCACCCCCCCTTTTTAAAAGCCTTTTTAGCCCACCAAGAAAGAAAGGCTCAAAAAGGCCGCAAAACGGAACCCCTTTAGCGGCCATAATGATATTCAGAACGGCTGAACGTGCTTGAAACTCGACCGGAAATTTTGCAGACCTCAAGATTTACGATGAGAATGCGCGTAAGTCGGTTTTGGTCTGGCGCATGTTCCTGTAAGCCGCTTGGGCCATTTCTCTTACGTTCATAGTTTAAAAATTTTTTTCGAAAAGTACAGCGATTTTTCCTTTTTTTCGAATCAAATAGAAAGTTGACAAAAAAATTTCGGTCGGTTTGAATTTTTTTCTAACTTTTTCTATTTTTTTGATATTTCAACAGCTTCGAAAAACTACAATTACAAATATTAAAAAAACTGTTTTCCATTTTTTTCTTCAGAAAAATGAAAAAAACTGGTAATTTATGCTCCAAATATAAAGATATGTGTTGAAAAAAATACCAATTTTTCGGAAAAAAACGAGTTAAAAAAATTCATTTTTTTGATTTTTTTGAATTTTTTCCATCGGAAGCACATTCATTAAAAAAACGCTTTTTTTCGTAGTCGAAATTTCAATTGCCAAAGAAAAATACCGCTAAAAAGCTTCAAATATCGAAAAAAATTATGTAAATATATTTTTTTCTATAAATTTCTTAAAGCAAAAAAACAAAATAGGGAAACCAGTAATTCTCTAAACTTTTGAACTTTGCTTCGAAAATATTATGACTGGCCGTCGAATGATCTCTAACTTGATTTGTAGCAGAATAAACACGTTTTCAATGATTCAGTACCTTTTCAACGACTAGTTTCGGCACATTTTTGTTTCTGGGAACCATTTCAAGAGGGTCATTTTGTTGAAAAACGTTATTCAAGTCTGAGAATTCATCTTTCGATTTTTCAAATGCCACTAGTTAATTTGAAAAAAGGGAATTTTAAGGAATAAGGTAAAGTTATTCTGGAAAAAGGTGTGAAAAAAGTTAAAATTCTATGTGTTGTACATTTGGGATTCCTAAATGATGTGAGAAGCTTTTTGAATGATTTCTGATGCTCTTGAGCGAAACCCGTTTTTGGTCGGGTGCGTCAAACTTGCGAACATAAATGCAGCTTGTTCATATTATCTATGTGTCCCACTGAATCCTTCTCATGGACTTTCTAGAGATCCGTTTGCCGCAAGTTGAACGGCTTCGCCCGACTTAAAACGACTTGCGCACTTGGACCTTCAAAATCATTTGAGCAAAATTCAAGGCGTCAAACCGCTATCACATTATTTGAAGAACCCTCTTCCCATGCGCCTTTAAAATTCACACCGAGTATTGCGGAAATCAAATTTTTGTCGCTCAAGATGTTTGATTCTCGCGTAACTAATTCGTTTTTTTTTTCAGCGACGTCTCCTGAATCCCTTCATTCTCGAAAAAAGTTCGATGTTTTCCGAGTCCAATCCCATTTTGCTCTTCACCGAATTTGCTTGTTTTTTTTGCGGATGTCCTTTGGTGAAATTAGTAGACTGGAACGTTTTTCTGCCCCTCCATTCAAACGAGCTTTTCGTGGGGGGTTTTCGCCTTCCTTTTAATCCTGTTATTTATCTTGAGAAGTAGTTAGAAAACTCTTAGGCTCGCTTATTGCGCAATTAATTGAAAAAGGATTCGTCGGAAGCTTGCGAATATTTCTTTTTCGCGGAAGTTATTTCATTTCAGACGCCGTTCGAGTGAATGATAGCTTGGTTACGCAAAAATTAATCTTTTTTTTTCGAGACATAAAATAAAGCGTAATTGCAAAAAGGCTCATAATCTATTGGCCATTTGATTGAAGTTATATACAAAGATCTGTAGGGGAAGTTTTTCAAAAAGTCGTTTCCCATAGCTCAACCCGCCATTTATAGTTAATGAACCCTTTGGTCATCCTTTCTTTTGATTATTCGTCTCAATACCCATTGTCAAAATTTTTTCTTTTATCTTCAAAACTTTTGCGCTCCATCGATAATCAAATTTTTTCAGGAAACTTTGAAACTTCAAAGTGGTCCCTATGGGAAACGTTAGGGGCCCTTTAGTCCCCTCGAGGGACCACTTTACCTACCCCTATAGGGGCCACCAAAGCTTGCAAAAGTGGTCCCTATAGGGTTCTCAGTTAGTGGCCCTTATAGGGGACCCTTTAGTCGATAATTGTCACGAACTCTTAGCATTTCCATTAAAAAAAACTGAAATTTTGAAAGGAATTGAGAGGCCCCTATAGAGTCCACTTGAGCTTCAGGGGCTAAGGATCCATATTCTAAACGCCTATAGGGACCACCTAAATTTCACCCCTATAGGGACCACTTTCGGCCCCTATAAAAGTTGTTTTCCTCCCTAACCCCTATAGTGACCACTCTGGATTTCCTAAGAATCTCGGACCTGGATGCGGAAACCGGACACGCTCCGGACGCTTCTGAGCAATTCTAGGGATCACTTAAGAGGACTGACGCTACTAAAGGGGTCACTAGAATTTCTGTGACACGCAACTTTTTGATTTTTTTCCAAATTTTTATAATGTTTTTTTGGATAAGTTCAAAAAAATTAGCTATGGAGCGCAAGTGAAACTTACGGTATGGCCATTTTTTGGACTTCTTTCCATTTTTTTTTTTTCGCTCCTTGTCGATTTTTGCTCGGTTTTTTCATGAAATTCGATAATTTTTGCTTTTTTCTTTATTATTTCTACCAGCTTTTCATCTTGAGAAAAATCCGTTAAATTTAGAATTTTTTCGAAATTCATGTTTTTTTTCGATATACCATGTACATGCAAAGGCTTCTCAAAACATCAAATTTTTTTCAATTTTTTTCAAAAAAAGTTTACTTTTTTATCAAAATGATCTCAAACTACTAATAACTGTATTTCTAGCCCACATGCCACCAAGATTTATTTTTTTTTCCTCAAAAACAACCTTTCAAAACTATATAATCATTCATAAACGCCCGAAAAAGTATGCTTTGTAGTCGGTAATTTGTATTTCTCTTCCTTTTAGAAATTCCAGCCGAAATATAGTTCAAAGCTCAAGTAAATGGCGAATTCAAAACATTAAAAAAAATTCTAAATTCATTATTTTTTTGATTAAAAAAAGATTTCTCTTCATAATTATAAGAAAAAGTGTACTTTGTACTCCGAAAAAATTCAAAAATCTCTGAAAAATAGTTCAAAGCTCACGAAATTCCAAGTTTTTCAATATCCAAGTTCTCTCAAAGATTTAAAGTCTGAAAATTTGATCGATTTGCTGAGATTTTGCCCAATAAATTACTGAAAGCGTTGCGATTTGAATTTCTAAGTATTTTTGATGACCCCTGGCGCAAGTCGTTTCAGGTCGGTCGCATTTCAAATCAACCCGTCGAGCCATTCCAAGTATGACTATGACTATAAACTTTTAAAATTGCATACTGGGCCTCCTTAAATCAACTTTTAAAATTTTTTTCTGTCTTGGAAATTGTTTTTTGAAGTTTTACTTGTGCTACTCTTTCCGAAAAAATCATCATTTTTGAATAAAATAAATAAGAAAATGCTAGAAATTATGCTTTCTTCAGCACTCTTGTCTCGAAAATCCAGAAAATAGTTCAAAACTCAGATAAAAAAGGGGGCGGAGTTTGATGAGGACAAATGTGAAGTAATGTAGCCGTTGTGTGTGTGTGTGTGGGGGAGAAGCCGTTTCCTTCTTTTTTTCGGGATAATTGCATAGGACTGGGCTAAATTGTTCTCGCGGAATCTGTCTTTCGGCTGAGGAAATCTCCGTATTTTTAGTCTCTTTCTTTTTTTGACGTTTATGGGGGAGTCGGGGATTTTTTTCTTTTTTTGCATGGCCAAGTTTTGTTACTTTTTTTGTCTTGTCGAGTTTTGAAAAAAACTTTTTATTAAAAAAAATTCAAAGATAAATATATGAATTTTTTTCAAAAAAATTTGTCGCTTTCTGATACTAAAAAAATGAGAATTCCTTGAAAAAAATAGACTTTTTTTATGGCTTAAAATCCTCCATTGTTAGTTTAAAAAAATTTTTCTGCAGATCAAAAATCAAAAAAATAGGTCTTGAAATCTCGTAATTTTGTCGCTTTTCTGATACTAAAAAAATGAAGATTCCTTGAAAAAAAGTAGATCTTTATTTTTTTAATTTTTGAGCTTTCTGGTACTAAAAAAACTAAGATTTATTGAGAAAAAAATACAAAATTTTTCAGTCTGAAATAAAAAAAGTAGTTGGAAAAATGCATTTTATTGGCCAAAAAAAAATTTTTTTCCTAATTTTTTTATAGATTTTTCTCACAATTTCGTTATTATTTCCCATAAAAATGGAAGAAAAAAAGCATAAAAAAACAAAAAAATGCGCAAAAAAATAAAATTCAATTTATAAGAAACAAGTTCCCTATTTCACCAAATTACCCTCCCCGAATCTAAATTTAGATTTCCAAAACAAATAAATCTAGACATTTTTTTTTGCCCAAGGAAATTCCAGCTTGAATACCCCTTGATTATCGGAAAAACTCGGTTTTTTCAAGGAATAACCTTTGAAAAAAGGCAAAAAAAATATTTTTCGAGATTTTTTTAGTTGAAAGTTTCCGTTGAAAAGGCTTCTAGGAATGGTCGTGGTTTTGACGTTTTTGGGTTTTTTCATCAGTTTTTTTTCGAAGTTGCTCGGATTTGAATCTAAAACTTTTCGTTTCTGTCTTTGAAAGGATGAAAAACGTCATTTTGGGGAAAATTTCGGAGAGCCGCGACGCGACCGCTCCGCATAGCCATTCTCCAGATTTATTGATTTTTATGATTATTTTTCTCCCTCTGATTTGAATATTCTTACAATTTACTCCATGTTCTCCCCCTCCCCATGTCGCAGTTAGAATGGCTCAAGCGCAAGGAGGTTGTGTTGAGATGCGACCGACTTGAAACGGTTTCCGCCCTGAGGCGTCAAAAAGCGTTAAAACCTTGAGCCATTCCAAATGCGACCTTTTCTTCTTCAAATCATTTTTTCAAAACCTCTCAAATCATATATATATTTTTTTATACCGTAACCCAAATCAAATACTACCGTACCACCTCAAATATTCCAGGATAAATGAACACCGTAACCCCGTCCTCTTCAAACTGCCAAACGATAGATCATATAGCCAGAGATTCTACCGTAATCCTCATCGAACTTTCAGAGGTACTGTAGCGCTTATTCTAAAAAAGTTACTGTAGTGAAATTGCAGGTGATACTCGCATTTTTGACAGTCGGCTGTGTAATTGTCAGTCGTGCCTACCAAGCTACCGTATACTTCCATTCAAATTTGAAGGTTTTTAGGACTACCGTAACTTTTTTCTTACGGTGATTTTCAGAATCTCATCAGATTTTATCATTTTTCACTGATAGCCTTCTCGTTGACGTCTGGATTTACGCAGGTAAGCGTTAAGGGGTCACTTAAGAGGTGGAAATGTTATAAGTTCCTTTAAAATCTGAGGGATCACTTTAGGGGTGAGAAAGATGGAATGTCTTTCAGGAGGATAGCACAAAAAGGGCCATTTTTCAAGTAGCTTCTTAAGAATTTTGATGACGTCAAAAATATTTTTAAGTGTTCACTTGAGGGATAAAAGTACTTAAAATTAAGCATTCTAGCTGTAAAAAGCTCAGGAAAACTGATTTAATGACGTATAAAAAACTGCTGATGACGTCATAAAGCTTCCAAGTACTCACTCAAGGGTTTAGGGTTTCAAATGACTTAAAAAAGACTATTGATGACGTCATGAAGCTCTCAAGTACTCACTCAAAGGTTAGGGTTTCAAAGGACGTATAAATGGCTTTTGATGACGTCATTAAGCTCTCAAGTAGTCACTCAAGGGTTTAGGGTTTCGAAGGACGTATAAATTTCTACTGATGACGTCATGAAGCTCTTAAGTACTCACTCAAGGGTTTAAAAATATGAAACTGTTTCAATTCCCCTTTGAGCAGCTCTTAAAAATGAACACTTAAGTAGCCCCTCCAGACACTTGATTACGTCCTAGGAAGAGCTCACTTAAGTGATTTTTCAGCTTTTCCATCTCGTCTCTCCGATCCTTTTCGAAGGTTGTGATATTCCAGTGGCCGTCTGTGCATGCGCCATTCCTCGCATCATTATTTCAGCTGTCAATATGAGTAAGTCCCGCCCCTTATTGCTCATCTTACAAGGTTTTTTAAGTGTACGCATTGCTCATGTTAGCCATTCCGTTGGAGCGAACTTTCGCCACTTGGACCGTCGGCGCCTATGAGAACCGCGATGGGACTCTTGGCGTGATTTGCGGCTATTTTATTGTAAGAACCAACTTAAGGGATTTAAGCTAAAATGACGTCATCATTCAGGTCTTGATTTCTTTGGCCTTTGCTATTCCTTACAACAGCGACGATTTTTTCTCCAAAAAAAGTACGAGTAATTGTATTTATGACCGATTTGGTATTGTGACAGGAGCCACAGTTACGGTGAGGGTTACTGTAGGTTTCTTGTGAAATTTAGCAATTTCAGACTTTTCTCATTCTCGACGGGGCATCCTTGTTTTTAATATTCGCTTTATTGGCGTATAATCGGTATAAATTGACGAGGTTGGTTTTGAAAATCGGATTTTTGAGTGGAAATTCATTTTCTAGTGGTTTTTTTGAACTAAAATTCGAATTTTGAATTCGAAAGCCAACTTTTTTTTTGAATTTTTAGTTTTTTAAAAATCTCGAGGTGTTCAGAGTTAAGCTGGAATGACTTATTGTCATTAGAAACTTCAAAATTTTTTTGAAAATTTTTAAAAAAATCAACAGGGAAATTGGGATACGACTATAACTTTTTTCTTAATTTCGAGCAGATTTTCAAACCTTTAGCTCATACTTAAAAACAAATGGTCGCATTTGGAATGGCTCAAAGCTTGACAGTTTCAAATCGCACGCTTCAAAATGCGCCCGACCTTAAGCGACTTGCGCGAAAAAATCTTTTGGAGACAAAATTTAAGCCGCAACGCTTCTAGACATTCCAAGTGCGGTCACGACTATTCTTTTCAAGATTTCACCCGTTATCTCGCTTTTTGAACCAATAATTCTTTGAAACTCACTGATACTTCTCAAAAAAGCTGGCGACGAATAAGTTGTAGCTAGGAATACTGAAGAAAAAATCCCAATATAAAAAATTTTCCAGGAAAACCTACTCGCTATCGATCGAATTTCAACTGCACCAAAATATCCGGGTCTTGAACTTGTTCCTGCCGAATCTGCTGCTTCACACGGTTGCCTACTTGTGGTACACCTTGGGCAATTATTATGTCCCTTCCTTCAATCTGGACCCTCTGAAACATCGCATTCTCGTCATGTTGGCCAATGTGAGTTTGAAAATTCTTTCAAAAGAACTGAGCCAGTGAAAATTGACGTTAACAGGCAAATCTTGAAACAGCCTGACTTGTCTGCGCTCTCTGTTCTCTCGTCCATAGAGCGCGAGGAAGATGAATTCCACTTCCATATTTTTTCATCCAGTAACTCTGATAATTTTAAAACAAAGAGATTGGACCAGTTATGTTGACCCATTAACCCCTAAAGTGACCACTAAAATTTTTAGTGGTCTGGTAGTAGCACTTAGACCTCTATAGTGGCCACTAATTTTCAACCCTTAAGTGGCCACTAATTTGACTACTGTAGAGGCCACTGAAACGTCAAAACCCTATAGGTACCACTAAAAATTTTCCCAGTAGTTCGTCCGCCCCGACTTGACAGTTTTCGCGTGTCTGCGTCTCTCCGTTCCCTCACCGGCGAGGTCAGAAAAACATTAAAATAGCACGCAAACATGAGAGAGACGTCGAGAGATAAGGAGGGCGCAGAGAAGTCGCGAAAAACGGACTATGAAAAAAATTGAATCATGAATTCCAGTGCCTGCCCCTGTACACCTTCCTGGCGTCGCTGCGATGGCTATTCGTGGTTCGCGGCGAGCGACATCGCCGACGGACGTGTTGCGAGAGAGTCGCGACATCGCGGACCAACGAGAAGGACCTCTACTTTCAGTCGCTGCAGGACCAGTGGTCGCGACAAATCGTTCGCGCCCCCGCTCGCTCCGGCGGCGGAGGCATTTTCAGTGTCGGGAAAGCTGTTTAGAGTCATTTTTGTACATATTCTGATTTCTTATAAAGATTTATTTGAGATTTTCGTTGGTTTTGAAAACTTGAAAATCGAAAAATTGTCTATCTCTTTAGTTCTTTCTAAATTTCACTTCTTGATCTTTAAAAAAAATGGCAGCCCGTTCAATAATTCCTTCAAAAAGATAGCTTTGATGAAAAACGAGAAAAATCTTAAATGACGTCATAAAAAAATGATTTTTTTGGTCCAAATGACGTCATCTTTTTTTCATCTAATTCTTCGCGAATATCCTAATTTTTTTGAAGGATTTAATGGTGAAATATCAAATTTTTTTGGTTCAAAAATATCATCATGAAGCCGATTTTTCATCATAAAAAAACTGGATTTCGACCCGAATGACGTCATTGAAACCTTCACTTCAAAAATAATCCGCTTCCTTAATTTCTTGTGAATTTTTTTCAAAAAAACTCATCCAAGGGTTCAATAAAGTCATATTCTTAGGGAATCTCCAAACTAAAGTCATAAATTTGAATTTTTAATACGAAAATTGTGAAAATTTTTCGACCAAAATCAACATGGAAATTCAAAAAAAAATTTTTTTATACAATTTTTCATCAAAAATTTACAAACAATACATGTAAAGCATTTGAGATCACCTGAACGAATTTGGCAGGAAAAAAAAAACTAAAGATGACTAGAAAAAAACAGGGAAAGACGGTGGATTATCTTATTATACCTGAAAGATAAGGATACAAGGGGGAATGAAAGCAGAAAGATTCAAAAAAACAAAGAAAAAAATTGGAAAATGGCGGGAAAATCGAAATAAAAAAACTTCTCGGAGCTTGGTAATGCAAACCGGACGCGCCCCGAATGCTTCTGAGCATTTCTAGTGACCACTTAAGAGGCGTTAACACTTTTAGGCTCCTAGTGACCACTATAGTGGCGTCAGCATTCTTAAGCTTCTAGTGGCGTCAGCACTCTCTATTTTCTAGTGACCCCTTTAGCGGCGTGAGCCGTACTCAATCCTTAGTGACCACTATAGTGGCGTCAACATTCTTACAATTTTAGTGATTACTTTAGCAAATTCTAGTGACCACTTAAGTGGCGTCAGCACTCTTGAACTTCTAGTGGACATTTAAGTGACGTCAGCACTCTTAAGTGACCCCTAAAACTACTCAGAAACGTCTCGTGGGCGTCCGGTTTTCATAAGTTTTTGAAAATTTACGAAAACTCTCCTTAGAGCGCATTTTCAGCACAATTCAAGCTTTTTTCGGAAAGATTGAATCCTTCAAGGTCGAATCCCGGAATGATGGCAATGGAGCATGTCTCCGACCACGTTTCCACACGTTAAATGTTGGATTCCGAGGGCCGTAAGACCTTGCGTCGGACGGCAGAACTGTTCGCATTGGGGTCCTCTGCAAAAAATAACTTTCGGGTTTATCCATTTTATGTGAAGTCATACATTTTACTTATTATCACTTAGATACGCAGGTAACAACTTGTCTACCGTAACCCGGACAGTTTTTTCTTATTGTTCTTATTTTTAAGAACGTCATAGTGATCCCTACAGGCGCAACCTTAAAGGCTTTTGAAGATCCCCTCAAGTGACCACTTAACTTCTCCCTATAGGAGCAATGAAGCTTGCAAAAGTGGTCTCTATAGGGGTTCCAGTTAGGGGTTCTGAAAAAAACTGAATGAAAAATTAAAAGACCCCTAAAATATTTCTTGAAGGACCACTATTTTTGTTGTCCCCTCTGGGGGCCGTTGTTTCTCTGAACCCTCTAGGGACCACTTTGGGGTTCCTGAGTGTTTTTGGAGCTACTGAGGGTGCGTGTTAAAATTTACCAGTTACTTCAAAATTTTTGATTTTTCCAGGAAGTCCACAATAAATTTAGAAAATCGCACGTCTTCTGGATAACTATGGACCTCTTTACCTTCCCCTATAGGGACCATTTAAGCTACTTAGAGGTCAAAACCTAAACCCCTATAGGGGTTGTTCTCCCCCTAAACCCTCTAGGGACCACTTTGGCGTTCATCTTTGATTTTTCCAAGGAATTAACAATTATGATTCGATGAATTCTGAAAACCGCACGTCTTCTGGGTGACTAGGGACCTCTATAACTTCCCCTATAGAGATCACTTAAGCTTCAGGGAATTTGAGGTCAGAGCCTAAACCTCTAAGAGAATCCCCACAGCAATTTTTTGTCCCCTATAGGGGCTGTTCTTCCTCTAAACCCTCTAGAGACCACTTTGGGGTTCCTGAGCGTTTTAAGAACTTCTGAGACTGCGAGTTAACATTTATAGCTGATTCACGGCCAGCTTGGGACGCTAAGGGACGTGTCGTGTCTGCGCTCTCCACAAGCCAGGCGCTATCTCGTGCATTATCATGTCAGGACCCTTTTTACAATGGCTCAAGCCAGCCGTGAATCAGCTATACCAGTTACTTCAAAATCTTCGATTTTTCAAGGAAATTCACAATTATGATTCAAAAAACCGCACGTCTTCTGGATGACTCCACGCTGTCTGCAGCACTCCGAGTTGTCTTTTCCCTGCGAGGCGCACTCCAAAAACGGCGCCACACTGAAAATGCCACACTGGCCACGGTCCATCGCCCCACGGATCTATAAATAATTCCCTTATATAGTAGATGTATGTCAAAGGAAAAAAACGCAAAAGTCCAATGTTCTTTTTGCAAATGAGCCGTTTCAATGAACCTAGTAGGTTTGAAGCAAATGGGGGAATAACTTTTTAGAAATTTTTTTAAAAAGACTCTTTAAAAAAAGAAATAAAAAAAACAAGAACCTGAATGGTTTGAATGGTTTTTCAGAAAATATTGGCAAAATTTTTAGTGGCCACTATAGGGTTTTGACATTTTAGTGACCACTATAGTAGTCAAATTAGTGGCCACTTAAGGGGTCAATGGATCAACATAACTGGTCCAACTTGTTTCCTTTAAAGTTATCAGAGCTACTGGATGAAAAACTACTGAAGTGGCCACTAAAACGGAAAATAGTGGCCACTATAGAGGTTGGTTTAGTGGCCACTTCAGTGTCCTCTCTAAGTAGCCCTGGGCGAGCCTCTATAGTGGCCACTGAAAGTTTTCACAGATACGCAGATGCGAAAAAAGGCGTAATTTGGAGCGTCGTTGCGAAAAATACTAGCTTAGGTGAGCCATGTACTCAACTAGCCTCAGGGAAAAATCTACAAAAATGGAATATTTTCAAAAATTTATTATCAATGTGATATGAAGGCATAAAATTTTTTTTTAATGGAATCGTAATTTTTTTTTAGCGAAGGCCGTGTTTCACAAATGGAAGTACGGCCTAACTTTCCAAAACTTTCTTCACTCTCTTTGTCGACTATAAAAAAATTTACTATCGATTGAAAATTTTAAAATATTTAGAAACTATCGGAAACAGTAATAAGGAGCATCGTTGCGAAAAAAATTTTTTTGAGAACTCGAAAATTTCAAAGTCCACCAATCAGCTTGATTTTTTTAAAATATTTTTTTCATATCTTCACCTCCGCTTGAGTAACATCATAACGGCACAGGGGCAAACATCCGGCGGGCAAATTTTTCCTTCGGCAGCACTCGAGAAGGCCTGAAATTAACTGAATCATTCAAAAAATCAGGGGCAAAGTGCTTAAGGACCTAGGAAGAACCTTTGGGTTTTTTTGAAAAGGCCCCTCTGTTCTTAACCCTTTTTTCAAGGACCTTTTGCGGGGCGGGGGGTGAGAAAAAGAAAAATCCCTAGTAGCTTTCGACACCTTTCTAGGAACTTAAAAAGGAGCTCTAGACTCTTTTTTGAGGCCTGTTTAAAGGCTGTTTGGACTTCGTCCGTGCTTTTTGCAAGGGCCGGCCCGCCCGCGGGCGAAGTCCGAAAGGTCTCAAAAAAAAGGTGAAGGGAAAGAAGGTGCCGAGTATTTTTTCAAACTTTTTTAGGAACTTCGAAATGAACTCTAGACTTTTTCTTTTTTTAACATGTGCTCACGTTTTTTTCTGACTAAGAAAGGCCTGTCGCTTCGAATTATGAAATAAAATTTTAGTACATTTGGGGTCCCAACCGTCAAAAAAGCCCGATTTTCAGAAGAAAAAAAACGTTTTTCAAGGTAAAAAAATTTTTCTTTTTCAATTTTTCAATGAAAATGGTTTGAAATACCGTTTTGAAAAAAAGTTTGGAGTCCATCCGTCAACCAGGAAAAAAGTTAGAAAAATTCACTAAAAGTCCTACCGTAACCCAATGAGGGGGTGGAGCCTCACAGTAACTAGCCATAAAATTTACACATTATGTCTAGTAAATGTGATAACAATTTCAACTCTCAGAACGAAACTTGAAATTTTTGTACCAACGGTTCACTGCAGTTCATCGACAAAATGAACTATTTCGTGGATTTTGACGCTTATTTCTTCAGAACTAGATAATTGTGCAGGTTGAGACTTTCAGAATCGTCTCCTGGTACATCAAGGAGTTATTTGGTCAATTTTCAGGAAGTTCCCAACCGCAAAGTAAAAAAAAAAATGACTTCCAACATTTTTCTTCGCCTAAAAAGCCCACCTCGACTAGCGACCTCCGTGCTCACACAGGGAGTGAAAGACGGAGCCACGCCACATTGTGGTGGAGCTGGAGCTGGAGGAGAAGGAGCTGGAGCAGCTGGCGGAGCCGTGACAAAGGCTGGAGGCTCAGTCAGCGGTCGGAACGGCAGGACCGATACTGGAAAGATAAAGGAAATTTGAAAATGGTCAAGAAATCTCAATAAAGTTCCAGTTATTCTAATTGACCCTTAGAGAAAAATGAGTCCAAAGAAGAATGGCTAAACGCGTCGCGGGTGCGAAACAAAGTTGCGCCGGACCAAAAACGACTTTCGCGCGAGCCGATAAAACATTTACTATTGATTTCTAGAGAACTTATGTCAACTGTGTATTTTTTTAGGTATCAAAAAAATATAACTTTGAAAAATTTCTTATCTCATTTTTTTGAATTATCGAATTTTTCTGTTTTTTTGATTAGTATTTAAATATTAAAATGGTTAGTGTGTTAGTTTATAGTTGTGATGTGAAAAAAAGTGCAAAAAAATAAATAATTTTACCTTTTTCCCGTGACTCCGGGCGCCAAAGTTGTCCTTGGCAAAGATTCGACAATTTGGCTGTTTTTTTCAAATTTCCCTGAAAATCGGTAAAATGTAGTTTGCAGCAAAGTTGCTCCACGGACAAAAGTGGGCCGTAAATTTTTTTGAAATTTTTTTGTTTTTTTCATAATTTTTTTCACTGTTGAGAATCGAAAAAAATGAATTATTGGCCATAAAAAAATTTTTCTCCCTGATAAATAATGGTTCTTTTTTTCTTGAAAATTTCGATCAATCTATTTTGCGTTTTTTTCTAACTGAATCTGTTTCCACATGAAAAAAATTTTCAATCAATCAAAGTCGGTTATTTTTAAATTCGAACTTCAGAAAATAAAAAAATAAATCGTCGAGAAAGCCGAAAAAGCGGAAAAAAATCCAGTCAAAATTCATATTAAAATCTCGAAAATAATCACTTTTTCAACTTCAAAAACCAACTTTTCTTAATTTTTTTCTAGTTTCTATTGGAATTTTTCCCAGAAGTTCACTTTTGAGAGGTCCAAAAATTTCAGATTTATCCTCACCTCAAGCTCAATTTTCTCCTCTGGAACGTGTCTCGAGTGCAAATCTGGAGCTGGAGCAGCTCCTTCAGTCGATTTTCCAGTGAAACTTGTGATCATCGAATCGATCGCTGAAGAGATCTTTTATTGAAAAAATGATGATTTTGAGTGAAAAGTACATTTTCTGGCGTTGAGTATCTGATCAAAACATGGGGAACTAAAAAAAATTATTGATTTTTTTTTTCGATTTTTCGACTGTGGAACTATCACATTACTCAAAAAACGAACCCCTATAAAATTTCTGAAAACGAGCTTCAGACTTTCCATCAACAGCGAAGTTCGGAACGGAAGATGGAGAAGTCGAGGCCAAAGATCCTCGTCGGATCAGAGCGACTTTCCATTCTCCAGGCGCTGGTCTGAAAAAAAATTGCTCTTTGGATAACTTTATCGATAGTTGAAGAATTGTTGGAACATGCTCATGCAAATGAAAATACTCAAAATTGCCTCTTAAAAAAAAGGAAGAAGTCATAAAATAATGAAATATCGCGATTTTAAGTCCAGGTCCTTGAAAAACTTCAGTATTTTTTTTAAATGCTCATGCAATGATGATAGTGAACAAAGGAAAATTTATGGGATGATTATTCACCTCAAAAGATCCTACAAATGGGAAAGAAGTAGTGAAAATAAAAAATGAAGTCATTTTAAATTAAATTTGCGACATTGTCAAAAAAAAGTATGGTATAGTCAATGTTTGCCGACTTGAAAGGTGAGGGAGGCGGGGCAAGGGGCGGGACGCGTAGCGTGTGCGTTCGCGGCTCTTGGCGCCAGTTCAATTCAATCAATCGCCGCCGACTATTTAAAAAAGCTCGGCAACCGCTCTTTTACAATGTTTTCTATTATTTTTTGATGCATACATGAACATAATCAATAAATAATTAAAAAAGAAGTGAAAAAGAGCGATTATAAAGCTCTCTGAATGCTCGCTAGCGGTTTAATTGAACACGCGCCAAGAACCGCGTACGCACACGCTACGCGTCCCGCCCCTTGCCACGCCTCCCTCGCCTTTCAAGTCGGGAAACATTGCCTATAAGAATATTGTTGGAACTTGAGCGCGGAATCGAAAAAAAAAAAATCAACCGAGAAACAAAAAAGAGGAAGTTATCCAACTCAAACCATCGAAAATTACAAATAAGTCGACAAATAATTAAATGACGTCATTTTCCATTCAAGTTCCTACAAAAGGTTACAGGAATAATATTGTAGATACATGCCCATGCAAAAATATTGTAAATCGATAAAAAATCACAAAGAAGGAAAAATACCTGGAATTAAAAAAAAATTCACATTTCTGACCTCGGTAACACAAATCGGACACGCTCAAGACGTTTCTGAGCATTTCTAATGACCAGATTAGCAGCGTTAGAACTCTCGAACTTCTAGTGACCACTTTAGCGACGTCAGTACCCTTGAGTGATCCCTAGAAGTTATCAGAAACGTCCGAGGGACGTCCTGTTTGTGTTACCGAGGTCCGCGTTAAATCAAGTCAAAAAATAAATAAATAAATGACGTCATTTTCAATTCGTCGCCTCTGAAAACATCAAATAATACACTGTAAAAGTGGAGATCTTCATTTTTTCTAACTAGCAGTAAAAATCAAAGCTAAAATCACCATTCAGCTAAAAATTTGCATCGAAAAATAGTTAGGGGTTTTTTTTCCGGAAAAAACGCATTAATAAATTAAAATAAGTCAATAATTAGCTGATTTTTCAATTATCAAGAATGACGTCATTTCTAAATAGGAGACACAAAAATTTGAGGAAGATTAATGGAGAGGAGTCATTAGAAAATAGAAAACTTTTCAGAAATGTGTTAGAAATCCTTCCACCAAAGGTCCGACACGAGACATGCAGAAGACGTCGTCAGACGAGAACATGCAGTGCAGATGACGTCATGCTATTTCGTCGTCAGACCTCATCAGAATCCGGTCAAATTTGCTGCGTCGAGCAAATCGATCACGCGCGATGGTCGTCAAAGGCATCAGAATCCGATTGGTCGTGAAGTTTTTGCGATGTCGCTTCGGTGTCTTGGGAGTAGATTTTCCGCGACGCGATGTCGCGACTCGGGGTTCGCAGAGGAGCCGACCCGGCGGCCAGACTCGACACGTCAGCCGCTTACTGTAGGCATTACGGTGGGTTTACCGTAACGACCAATTTTGATTTTTGAAGACGTTTGGAGGGTATGGAATTTTCGGAAAACTCGGAATTGATGAACATGGATACTGTAGGATATACGGTAATGTCAAAATAACTTTAAAACCACCCAGTTCGTTTTTCAATGATAAAGAACTCACAAAGAAACAGCGAAGACTCCCAAAAATCAAGAAAATCTAAAATGTTCATACTGTAGGCTTACGGTAATTCAAAATTTGAAAATGAAAGATACTGTAGGTTGTTGAATGATAATTTGAATTTCAAAACCGATTTTTCAGTTATTTTTTTTCCTAAACTTCGAAAAAGTTTATTGCAATAAGAAAGGATCAACGCGTCGCAGTTACTTTAACAGTGCGCCCGACCCCGAGTGACTTTCGCGCATTGGCGCTGTAAATCTCACAAAACTATAGAAATTCGTTTTAACAGCACCGGAAACGCTACGCTTTGAGCCAGTTCTTTATTCGAAGTGTGCACTGGGGGTGGCTAAACGTGTCGCAGTTACTTTAAAAGTGCGCCCGACTTCAAGTGACTTTCGCGCATTGGCACTGTTCATCTCAAGAAAGCTTTAAAAATTCGTCTTAACAGCACCGCAACCGCTACGCGTTGAGCCATTCTGAATGCGAAGTGTATTTTTTTCATTCTCCATTATTTTTCTGAGGAAAATCTTCTCGAAAAACCAAAAAAAAAAACCTTAAACTCCATTTCTTAAAGACAGTCTTGGCAGAAACCCAAAAAACCAACTTCTGAGAGGCTCCGAAGGTCTGTCCGGACATGGATTCGGACCGTCTCCGGAAGGTTTCAACGGGTTCTAGTCGGATAGATCGAGGTTGGATTTGAGATGCTGAATTTTTTAAAATATCGAAGAATCTGTGAGAAAATCCCACGAGGCGGCATCGAATTGAGCGAATTTTCGGATTCAGAAGCTTCCTCGTCGTAATCTCCAATGATAACCAGGGAATCTGGAGGGCGGATAATTCTCGGGTCCGGCGTGGTTCTTCGACGAGGTTGCATCTTGAATAATGGACGTTTTCTTATTTATTTCAAAATTATGGGTGGGGGGGTCAAGGAAGTAAAAAAAGCGGAAAAATGTCTACTTTTTAAAATTATGGAACTATCAGCATAGGCACGTCGGAAAGGGTGGGTAATGGCGGCTGAAAGGCTCAAAAAAGGGTGCAGAAAGGCAGCAAAAAGGCTCAAAAAAGGTCGCAGAAAGGCAGCAAAAAGGCCGCAAAAAGGGTCCCTTTATCGAGGCCTATCTGGGATTTTAAAAGCTCAAGAAATGGTGGAAAGAGGCAGCAAAAATGGTGCATAAGGGCTCAGAAAATGGAGCAAAATGGCTCAAAAAAGGCCGCAGAAAGGTAGCAAAAAGGGTCCCTTTATCGAGGCCTTTCTGGGATTTTAAAGGCTCAGGAAATGTTGGAAAGATGCAGACTCCCAGTTCAAGTTCCCCTTCAAAAACATCAGATTCTTACGGTAACCGTAGTCAATTCTTCGGGAATCGCAGCCGGCGGCGCCGCAGTCACCATCGTCGTGATGGTTTCGGGCGAGAACGGGATCAAAGTCGGGAATCCGCCGGGCGGATGGGTCACCCCGATCATCAACGTCTCCCGGGAGGGAAGAAACGCGGCTGGCGGGGGTGGGGGCGCTGGGTCAGGCTCAGAGACGCGTCGGGGAGCTGGCGGAGGTAGGACGTCGACCTCAGGTCGGTGGATCGAAGCCGTGCCGGAGTTCGCGCCTGGAATCACTTAAAGTTTCTTAGCCCGGGCCGCGTCGCGGCTTGCTTCGCGGTCTTACCTGCGATAGAACCAAAATTAAAGGTGGGCTGCCATCCTCCGACGTGGGCATTCCCGTCACGAGCCTCCTGATGACTCGGCGAATCGATGGAAAGTACTGAAAAATCGAAGTTTGATTAGTAAAAGTGCAGGTTAGAGTTTAGTAACAAAAAATGCTTTATTTTTGAACAAATGATAACAAAAAACCCGGTCAGAATACGTTTCGAAACTCTTATTTCACTTCATTTTTTTCAATAAAATCTTGTTTCAGTCGCAATATCGCCTTCTTTCAAAATGACCTACTGTATGACTTTTTTAAAAAGGTTTTTTTATAATTTTTTTATTCCATTCACGAGAAAAAAATTGTCATAGAAAAATGAATAAAACCTGATTTTTTTCAGCCCCCAAAACTAGTGCAATTATCGGAACTAGTAACACTAAGAAAAATTTTTTTGAAAGTAGATTTTTTCAAGTTTCTTGAAGGAGTTTTTGAAAAATCTGAGATCCAAAAAGATTTTCTATATTTTTTTAACAGTTCTATCCAAATTTTTGCTCGAAAAAAATCTTTTTATTTTTCAATGAAAAATTCGAAAAAAATGAAAAAAATGGTTTTAAAAACTTGAGTAAATGAAAAAAACCCGACTTTTTCAGGCTTTTTTTGATCCTACTAGTTGAAATAATGTGTATTTGAAAACTTGAACTTTCACAAAAGGAATTAGAAAAAAATAATTCCTCTCAAAACGAGTTTTTTTCTGAGCCAGGAACGTGCCTTTTAATATAGTGCAAATTAAGAAAAGATTATTGATTTTTTGAAAATAAATAAAAAACTAACAATCTTTCAAAACAACCAACAGAACGAGAAAATCGAAAAAAAAGAAAGTTTGATTTTTTGGCAGTAGTTCCTCAAGTTTTTAGCTATGGGGCGCGCTTGACGCAGTAGAAACCCCTCTAGGGATTCCTGAAGTTTTGACCCCTATAAGAACCCCTCAGGAGAATCGTAAAAAAAAATCAAAGTCCTATTACAAAAAACATTGGATTCCCGAAACGATTAGATCGCCAAGACCACATTTTTGAAGGGGGGACTTGATACAGAAGAAACCCCTTGAGGGGCCCCTAGAACTTTGACCCCTATAGAGATCCCTTGAACAACAAGCCCCTATAGGGACCCCTCAGAAGCCAGAAAAGTTACAAAAAAAGATCAACTTCTCGAAACGATTGGATCGCCACGGCCACATTTTTTGAAGAGGGAGGCACACGTTCCCGTTTCTTCTGATCAACTCGGACCCGTTTTTTTTCTCTTTTTCACGATTTTTGAGATTCTCTGTATCTTTTATGTTGGCATGTCAACTTACTCATTTTTCAAGAGTTTAAAAATATTTAAATTTTCATAAATACAAAAAACTGCCAAGAAAACATTTTTTTAAGCAGGATTTTTGGTTTCTTATCTTTTTTAGTAGCCTGACTTTCACATTCAAAACTATTTTTGGTTATGATTTTAAAAATGAAAAGACGCAGCAAACTTCCCTAGAGTGGCCCCTTTTTAAAGCTTCAGCCCCCCTTAGGGGGAAATAACCTGGTCTCTAGAAGGAACCCTCAAGGCCTTTCAGATTACCCCTAAAGGGACAACTCTGACGTTCAAAAAATCGACATGGGAAATTAAGAAATTGAACATTCCAATGTTTAACTTGTTATATAGTCTGTTCAGATTTCAAATGTCAAGTTTTTGCTGAAGCTCCGCCCCTAATGGCGCGATAAACCAATCAGTGAGCGAGCCATTCACAGAGCGTTTTCGAATGACGTCATTCTACTCGAAATTCAAAACGGACTTTATTCTGAAACATAAAAAGACGTATAGGGACCACTAGCATGCTACCCTAGAGTGGCCACTTATGCAGAGAAATCAGAAATAAACAATATGAGAAAAACAGTTAAAATTGAAAAAAAAAACCCACAACTGTGAATAAACTCGTCGCCACAGGAGACTCCGGCACACTGTTGGGGACACGCGACGCGGACGCGCGTCGTGCAGCAGAAAGACGGCGGAAAACGGTCGCAGGCGAGTGTCGGCGCGACAACGCCTTGCGACGACGATATCGCGACGCGACTTGACAACGTCATCAGTAGTAAAGCTGCTCTTTCTAGCATCTCTGAAATATTTTGAGATTTTTATTTTGAAGTTCCAAAAAACTTCGATTTTTTGTTCCATTCTTTTAAAAAACAATCGCCGTGTTAACAGTCATTCCGCGTAATTCAAAATAGCCACCAGAGAATGAAAAATATAACCGAATTTCAGAAGTTCAGATATGATTCTGAATTTCGCGAAAATTACTTTGAACACGGAATGTGAGAGAGCGCCGCAGTGTATGCACACGACACACCACACTTTACGGAAAAATTTTTTTATGGGCGGGGCGTCACCAAAAAAACGCTGTGAAATTTGAAAAAAATGATGGAGATAATAACTGGAAATTTTTGTTTGATAAGATCAGGATTAATTTTTTGAAAAAAATTAAAAAAACATCAAATATGACAAGAAATCATCTACAAAATCGAACCAGAAGCTTGAAAAAGTTGAATTCGAACTGTGAAAAAAATACAAAAATTAGAAAAAAATAATGGAGAGAGGGCCACAGAAAATAAAAAGGAGTTTGCGAATCTTAATAAAACTTTGAAAAAATACGATTCACTTTAAAAAGAAAGTTGTCAGAAGACCCATATTTTGAGAAAAAAATCCCAAAAACCCAAACCAGAAGCTCAAAAAAATTGAGACTTCGCGAAAACTTATGAAAATGTGTTTACAAAAAACATCAGAAACTTCCGAATCTTCAATAAATTTTCAAAAAATGCAAGTAACTTCAAATGACTTGATATATGATCCACTAAAATCAAAAAAAAATTCCTAAAACCTGAACCAGAAACTTGAAAGGAAATTTGTACTGCGAAAAAAATTCAGGCTGAAAACGATTGAGATGAGTCCACAAAAAAAGCCGAAACTTTTTAATTTTCTGAAAATTTTTCGAAAAATGCGACATCAAAAAAAAAAACGTTGTTGTATTTCCACACGAATCGGGAAAAAAGGTCCCAAAAACCATTCTAACCGAGATGAGTTCATAAAATAAGAAAAACTTTCCGAATCTTGAGGTTATGGAAACTGCAATCACCTTGGAAAAAATTGGTATGAGATCCAGAAAATCAAATAAAAAATCCCAAAACCCATTCCAAAGTTCGGACCAGAAGATTGAGAAAATAATCGAGATAAGTCTACAAAAACAGTAAATTTTAAGAAAGGTTCAATAATGCAATCATCTTTAAAAAATGTGTTAAATAGTCGATGTGCCACGACTTGAAATTTTATCGAACGACACTCCGCTGCGTGGCCTTGTGGCCGTGAAAGCGCCTTGCCTTTGCGAATTTCGGTCGTGCTTTCCATTTTTTCTCTCATTTGAAATTTTGACGATTTTTGCAAAAGCAATAATAGTTCCGTTTACGGCACGAAAAAACAATTAAAAAATTGTCGAAAAAGTGGAAATATCAAATAAAAGAAAAAATGAAAAGCGTGACCGAAATTCGCAAAGGCAATGCTCTTCGCGACAGCGCGCACTAGAACCACAAGAACAGCGGAGTGTCGTTCCACGAAAGTCGTGGCACATCGACTAATCGCAAAAAAGGTCCCAAAAAACTCATAAACCCGGTTCCCACACAAAAGAACCTTGTGATAGATCCACAAGAATCGAAAAAAGGCCCTGAAACCATTCCGAAACCCGAAGCAGAAGCCTCTCGAGCCATGACAAAGCACTCAAGGACCACTCAAAATAGTTATAGTTCATCGAAGAACATTTCAAAAGAAAAACAAGTCGATTTCCAAAGGGAAAAAAACTTTACGACGTCAACTTTCTGAATCAGCGTCCGAAACCACAAGAAAGACGAGTCGAAAGCGAAAATCTCTGCTTTGGGGCGGCTGTTTTCTGTTACAATTATACCGGGTGCCATCCGCCAACATTAATCAAGCGAATTTTGAAGCTTCCTTCAAGGTTCGTTTTGAAACCTCACAATTAAGGTTCTTCACAGGAAAAATGATCGCTACAACTTTTTTAGAAAAAACATTTTTATTCAAATATTTCCATTTTTAGCATTTTTCTGAGTTTTCCAGAGCCTTTTTGACGAAATATTGGGCTTTCCAACGTTCCAAAAGTTTTATAAAAGAAGAAATTTGGCAATTTTTCAAGTAATTTTTGATAGAACTTTAAAAACGAACTCCGGAATTTTTTTGGATCTCAAAATTTCGAAATATGACCATTTTAGGGAACTCTAAAAAAATCGAATTTCGAAAATTTTTCTCAGTGTTACTAGTTCCGATAATTGCACTAGTTGGGGGACTAAAAAAATCGGATTTTTTTCATCTACTTAAGTTTTTTTAAAACAATATTTTATGTTTCAAATTTTCAATAAAAAAATAAGAGATTTTTTTCGAGCACAATTTGGATAGAACTGTCAAAAAGTATATAGAAAACCTTCTGGATCTCAAATTTTCAGAATATGACCCTTACAAGACTTTAAAAAAATCCATTTCAAAAATTTTTTTCTTAGTGTTACTAGTTCCGATAATTGCACTAGTTTTGGGCCTGAAAAACCACGTTTTTTTTTCATTTTTCAATGGCAAATTTTCTTGTGAACAAAATAAAAATTATTTAAAAGAAGGATTCGAAAAAAGAGAGAAACAAGTTGAACTGGACCTCCCGTATTTGCACAAACATTTCGGCCAATCGAATCCGAATGGCCTTTTTTGGGACTGGTTCGGCTCGTCTCGCTTTCCCGTTTCTTCAGGGTTTAAAAGTTTGAAAGTGTGAGGTTCTCGTATTCTTCTAGTCCATAAAAATAGAAAAAAAGATTAAAAAAATCCGCTCAGTTTGACAAAATCTATTCATTCTAGTTTTTATTTTTTTAAGATTTTTTTGAGAAAATCCTTCCCATTTTATGGAAAAAAATGATCCCTCTTTTTATCCAAAACAAATAAAACCTTGTAAAAAAATCAGCTAATCTGAGAAATATGAATCATACTTTGAGTGATTTTCGAGCCTTTTTTGGAAATAGAGAAAGAACTTTTCAGAAAAAACACGACAAAAAAAGAACCAGCGCGCGGAGGTTTCGAACCAGGAACCCTATTCACAATGCCAAATCACTTAGCCACTTGACCATGACTCAAATTTTTTTTTGAGCGAAAAGCGGCGTTAAATCAAAAGATTTCCAGGCTGTGGAACAGCTTAAAGTTGAATAATTCAGAAAATTTCGAATTATTAAAAAAAATCAGCAAAAATCGAGCGGCGAAGTCGAACCAACAACCTCTTTTTCAATGAATCAAACTCTTAGCCACTTGACCAAAAGCCATAGGATCATGGTAACATTAAAAAAAAACATGAAGGAAGACATTCTTAGCCACTTGATTAAAAATAAACGATAGAAATTCTGCAAAAAACGAGCAGCGGAGTCGAACCAACAACCCCTTTTCTATGATTGACACTCTTAGCCACTTGACCAAGAGCGGTGGGATCGAAAACCAGTGAAAAAACGACCATTTTTTAAGCAAATCGAGCGGCGGAGTCGAACCAACAACCTTTTTTCTATGGATGAAACTCTTAGCCACTTGATCAAGAGCGTTGGGATCGATACCAACAACGAAAACCAGTGAAAAAACGACCCTTTTCGAGAAAATCCAGCAGAGGAGTCGAACCAACAATTCCTTTTCTAAAACCAAAACTCTTAGCCACTCGACCAAGGGCCACAGGATCGATACCAACAACGAAAGCCAGAGAAAAAAACGACCCTTTTTGAGCAAATCCAGCAGAGGAGTCGAACCAACAACCCCTTTTCTATGACCAAAACTCTAAGCCACTTGATCAAGAGCCACAGGATCGATACCAACAACAACACAACATGAAAGAAAGCGATACCATGTTTTGCAGAGGAAAATGAAAAAGTGAGGGCAAAAAAGGAGAAAAGTGGGCGGAGCGGAACGTCGGACCGGCTTTTTCTTTTGGTTCGTTGTAATCTTCAAAGGCATCTCTCGCACCTGCTGAGTAAGACTTGACCAAATAAGGGCAAAAACGTGAAAATCAAGAAGAAGCTTCGCAGTAATGTGTGTGTGTGTGACGTCGGGGTTCGAGAATTTCTCGCTTTTCAATGGGGTGAGTCATCATTTTGGTCTTGGAACTTCAGAAATTCCATTTCCCTTCATTAAATGATCATGGGGAACGGCTCAAATCGTGCCGGTTCAGCTCAGGAAGGCCGTAGTGGTCCCTAGAGGGGTTAGGGAAACAGACAGCCCTTAAGGAGACAAAATGGGGCCCCCTAAAGGGCGACAGTTCAGGTGATCCTGTAATTTTGTTTCTTCCAATGTCTGCTCCTCTAGGGATCATTAGAAAAATCCCCTAGAGTGGCCACTTTTGTAAGTTTTAGAGCCCCTATATGGAAAGGTTAGGTGGTTCCTAGAATACGCCTTCGAAGGACCCTCTAGGGACCACTCTGAGAAAATTCAAGCTTTGCTTCGACGTTTCCCAGCCGCGACGCGTTGAGCCATTCTCGCTGCGACCATTTTCTAGCGGTTTCCGTTCATTTTTTCAACACGACTCGAGCCAGAAACGAAAAAAAGTAAAATTAAAAATGGCGCAGTGACAGCAAAAACGTGGAGCGGACCCGAACTCGGAACGTTTTGACAATAATCCAACTCTTTAGCCACTTAACCACCATGAAAGTGAGGACTAATCATCTTCCAGTGTCTACCGAAAAACAGCAACATGAAAATTTTATAAAATAAAAAAGCCACGAAACAGAAAACTCGGGGAAAGTAAAATTAATCGAAAGTTGGCGATTTCGAAACGAAATCTGGTCAACCGGACTAACGTTTTTAATCCGTTCACGACCCCTATTTTTGGGCGTTTCTATGGGTTTGGCATAGGTGTGAAAACCGGATAGGCCAAAAAGATTCAATTTCCAAAAAAATATGATCATTTATCCCTTTTTTTGTTTTTAAAAATCCTTTTATAAGAGCTTATCCACTTTTTTTCTAATGATTTTTCGATGCCACACTGCGCAAGCCGTTTCAGGTCGGGTGCAAATTGAAA